CACATATTGATTCATAATCATCACGAACACATCACCCACGATGTTTGCGTGAAGCACGCGCCACCTTTGTGGTGCCCTGAGTCACTATCACCTGTTCGGCAGCCCGCCCAAGAGTGGCATTCACTACAGGCTAATCAGCTTTGGGCGGGGAATTAGGTGGGGAATTGGGTGGGGGACGGGGAGGGTACAGGGAAGCATGGTGCCTGAGGCCCATCTCCACTACGCAGTACCAGCTGCGTATGTTAGAAGTCGTGAACGTCTGTGCAGCGATATCAGTGCTGCGTTCACCACGCCTGTTGATTACTGGTCGGTTGCATGATCACTGACAGCTGAGATGCTGCTGGAGCGGTAAGCAGCTGAGCTCAGATCGGAGAGCGTGAGGTCATCCGGCCTGCAGTTCGGTGGTGACGCGCTCAGCGCTGGGGAGATTAGCCGCCTACAAAACTCTTAAGCGATATCGTGCCTCTCGTCACACTCGACGAAAGATTAGCACGACCTTTGGCAACGCCTTCGCCAGCCCCTTCCCCCCCCCCCCCCCCGCCCGTATCCACACTCTTTACTTGGACGGCAACACGTGGGAAAATCGTGAGCACTTCGCACGCGTTGTCGGAATCACGCTACATTGCAGTGTATTGAATACTGGGTTCTAGGAATTCATAGATTGGTTTTACCTGGCCAATTGGCTGTCTGTGGTGCTATGAGCTCACCGCAGCGCGTTGGATTTTCCCGTAATGCGATGCCCACTACGTTACGTCAGGCGCACGCTGGGCAGATACGGTCAACAGCTGAGTTCGGAACTACGGTCTGAACGCCACACGACCAGCAGCTGAGATCGGAACTACGGTCTGAACGGCACGCGGCCAGCATCTGAGATCGGACCACGGTCTGAACACCACGCGACCACCGGCTGAGATCGGAACTACGGTCTGAACGGCACGCGGCCAGCGGCTGAGATGGGAACAAACGGCCCGTCATTATGATATAGCCCATTGCCGGGACGCGAGCAACTCGCTGAATTCTTTGCGAGTGCACGCAATACGCTGGGAGCACGGTTCCCAGCTGGTACGTTGTGGTGCATTATGTTGGTTGCGTTTCGCGTGTCAATCAGAAGCAGGAGGGGGCCCGGGGCAGCCGACAGGCCTTGTCTCGCGGTGCTGCACCGTTCGGCCGCTGATCTGGGCACGGCTGGTCTGAGGAGCGTTCGTGCATCTTGACACGCTGCGGAAGGCTGTGATTTGACTTGGAGGCATGCAAATCAGCCTTGTCCACCCTCTTTTCTCACTGGGCGATTCATCGTGTACAAATGCCCGTGCCGTGATGGGCATGCTGCTGCGGTCAGCCACGGGCTGGCGTCATAGCCGTCCCGCGCGGGTGTACCGCCTTAGCACCGGCACACACACCCCGACAGCGGCCGGTGTTAGGCCCCGCGCGGGTGTAAGCGCCCGAGCACCGGCACACACACCCCGACAGCGGCCGGTGTTAGGCCCCGCGCGGGTGTACCGCCTTAGCACCGGCATACACACTCCGACAGGGGTCCGGTGTTAGGCCCCGCGCGGGTGTACCGCCCGAGCACCGGTACACACATCCCGACATAGGGCCGGTGTCAGGCCCCGCGTGGGTGTTCCGCCCAAGCACCGGTACACACACCCCGACAGGGGTCCGGTGTTGGGTCCCGCGCGAGGCTCAGCTCGGCAGTGGTGCGAATCCAGCAGGGTCGCAGCTCCCACCCCACCTCTTTCTGTCCCACTTCCTTCATCCCATGACTTTCTGTCCCACCTCGTTCATCCCATGGTCTTCATCTCACGGCTTTCATCCCATGGCTTTGAAATGATGAATCATAACAGGAAAAATGATAAACTAGCCAAACCTACATAAACCCCGTTTGTCTCGCATTGAAAAGTCATCAAGTGCTGGCCGTCGTCTTTGCCACGACCTAGGCATTATTATTTTATGACTTTAATTCGGTCGGTTCGGCGATTGTGAATATAGTAAGCCACAGCAGGGGTCCACGCTCGAAAATTTAAGTGCTCATTTGCTGGTAGCACCAAATGACTATCGAATCCCTTCAGGTACCTTACCTTCAATGCACTATAAAACCCATGCGTGCATAGGCAGTACTACACCGTTACAGTCCATCCGCTCTGAGCCTGGCCGGGGTGGTCGTCCCGGTGGTCGCGCCCGGTCAAGGTCGTCGAAGGTCACGCCCGCGCCGGCCGTCGCGGCCGAGGTGGGTGCCTGCGCGTGACTGACTGTCGCAGTCTGACCTGAAGGCCACAGTCTGACCCGAGGACCGCAGTCTGACCGGAGGGCTCGTGCAGTGCCAAGTCGCTTGTGCGTTGAGCACTGGTAGTTCAAACTCCACTGTGTGTCAGTCGGTGCGCATACGGCTCAAGGAGCATGTGGTCGGTGCGGGACGCCTTAGCCAGATCCAAAGGCACGCTGGACAGAAAGTATTTGAAGGGAGCTTACTAATTCGAGGGCATCTTGGATAAGCATGAATATGAGGTGGCAAGAGTCTAGTTAGTTAGTTACTGAGTTTTTAGGGTGCTTCAACTGCATTGGCTGTTTGCGCCATGAGGTGGCAAGAGTGGCGGCACGTGTTACAAATTTAGGGGCCTGTGTTTCCAAAGGAAGGGTGCGGTTTTTTAGACGTTCGCTAAACATGTAGAACGTCTGCCAGTCACTACAAGGATTTGCTACCCATCCAGGCAACCAACTGATCTTCTTGCTTTTGGACATAAATACACCGGGAAAAGCAGGGGAAGGCAAAGGTTACATGCAAAAGGTCCCCTGCCCAAATGCATCCTCTCGTCTTACATGCGAGATCATTCATGAAGACTGTGGAAGTCATATGAAGGCGACTAGGGCAGCTGTTGTCAGCATAATGTGTCAACCAAAAGCTCCGTAAATTAATACGCGAGGACGCTGGCTCGTTCTGATTCGGATACGATATGGTTCAAGGCTCAAGACCCCCTGGACCTGAAGTTATCTACCGGATCACCGGCCCTACTCCGAGTAGCAGGTGGAACCGCAGCTTTAAACGATGCCAAAAATCAGATATACTCAAATAAGACCGCTGACCAACAAAAACTTCATGCCGAAGGCGGAAACACACATAGTCACATGCATACACATGAACACACGTACGCTCATGCACACATGCATGAACACACGTACGCTCATGCACACATGCACACACACACACACCGGTGCAAATTTTGGGACACGAACAGCGGGATGGGTAAAGGGACTCCATTTTACATGGCCGGTTTGCTCCTGCCCAGGGTAACACACATCGCACATTTTTTTCATCCCCACTCACAAATGCATTTTAAACTGCACCTGAGCATCACCTGACCCGAAACGGACCTACGCTTCAGACCTGAGGGCCGATCTGCAGCAATACTCGCTTCACAGTGTGTCCGGGCTCTGGGTGACGGGACCGGTCACCGCCCCCCCCCCCCCCCCGGTCACCGTTTCGTCCCCCCTCCCCTGTCCGGTCACCGTCCCGCCCCCCCCCCCATCCCCGGTCACCGCGCCCTCCCAGCGTCGTCGCGCTGCCGTCTGGCCGGCCGGCCGACCCGCGCCCGGCGCCGGGCCGGCCGCCCGCACCGCGGATCTTCCGGGCCGGCCGACCGGCGCGGCGGCGGCGGACGCGGCGCCGCTCGCTGCCAACGGTCGGCGCTGCCGACACACAAAATGGCCGCCAATGTTCCCGGAACGCCCCTCTGGAATGTTGACCAGATGGTATCAGCTGGCCGGAGACGGGCCCACGGTCTATTTGCAGGCAGAACAGGACGCCTGCCTGCGTCGGGCCGAGTGATGTTCAGGCGCCATTTGAAATGAGCTTGCAAATGGAGTAGAAAAGTTGGCTTATAAGACGAATTGACAGGGCGCGTTTTCACTGTTGATTGCATGTGCCTTGCATTCAGGTGTCGTGGCAGCGTTAAAAGTGCGAACCGCATTAGACGTAAAATGTGTTTTGAAGTGCACCCTATGCTATCGTTCCTCCGCTCATCTGATAAGTAAGTTCGGCAGTCTGCAAACATTTTTTTCAATTGTTCCTTTCGGACACGTAGCCTACCGGCCGCGCGTGTCGGCGGTCTGTGCCTGTGTTTCTGATGCTTTGGTCCGTCGCATGCTGCCAGGAGGCGGGTGTCGGGTGAGCAGAGAAGTGCAGCAGGCGTGCACTGTACAAAACCGCCCCATACCCGCCAGCTATGCTCATACCGGCAAACTCAGTGAACGTGAGCCCCGGAACTGATAATGTGGCACAGGAGGGGTTAACCTTTCCCTGGTCTCCGAATGGGGCTGTTAATGGGGGGAAAATGAAGCGCAGAGACAATTCAGTGCAAAATCGCACTTAACGGTCAATAGATTTTACGATTTCCAAATGAACAGTGTATGCTGTGTGTCGCCCGAGGGACATGAGAGCATGCTAGAGAGCTGGTCGGGAAAATCCTCATCAATTGTTCCCGTGTGCTTCCATAGGATATCGTTTAACCATCACAAAAGGTGTTATAAGCCGTGGTCTGCTCCCATCTCCCTGTTCCCAGGCCTATGGCTCCATATAAATATAGCACAACGTACATGCATATGCTACTCTCGAAAGTGTGCGTAGCCCTGACGTCCGACCCCAGCGCCAGTGTGTGTAAGCCTGATGTCCGACCCCAGTGTCAGTGTGTGTAAGCCTGACGTCCGACTCCAGTGCCAGTGTGTGTAAGCCTGACGTCCGACCCCAGTGCCAGTGTGTGTAAGCCTGACGTCCGACTCCAGTGCCAGTGTGTGTAGCCCTGACGTCCGACCCCAGTGCCAGTGTGTGTAAGCCTGACGTCCGACCCCAGTGTCAGTGTGTGTAACCCCGACGTCCGACCCCAGTGTCAGTGTGTGTAAGCCTGACGTCCGACCCCAGTGCCAGTGCGTGCAGCCCTGACGTTCGGCCCCAGTGCCAGTGTGTGTAAGCCTGATGTCCGACCCCAGTGCCAGCGTGTGTAGCCCTAATGTTCGACCCCAGTGCCAGCGTGACCCGGCGGCCGGCTCCGGTTACAGACCCGCGCACCTGGACCGTGGAGCACATCCACGCGTGGCTGCGTTGGGCCGAGCGCAAGTTCGAGCTGGCGCCGCTGGACGTGCGGCCGTTTCCGAGCACGGGCCGCCAGCTGTGCGAGCTGAGCCGAGCCCAGCTGGCCGCTCTGGTCGGCACCCGCACCGCCAAGTGTCTGCGCTTCCACCTGCACTCGCTCAAGAAACGCGTGGGCGCCGACTCCGGCAGCGAGGACGAGAGCCCGCCGGCCTCGCCAGCCTCCTCGCCGCTCTCGGCCGAAGGTGGGTGTCGGTTCGGGATAGGGGTGCCCCCTCCCCCTCTCTTCCTGACCTCCGCGGGCGGGAGTCGACCGGCCTCGCCAGCCTCCTCGCCGCTCTCGGCCGAAGGTGGGTGTCGGTTCGGGATAGGGGTGCCCCCTCCCCCTCTCTTCCTGACCTCCGCGGGCGGGAGTCGACCGGCCTCGCCAACCTCCTCGCCGCTCTCGGCCGAAGGTGGGTGTCGGCCGAATGTGGATGCTCGCGAGGTGTCTGTCTTTGTAAGAGGCTAGTTCCGTTAGACTCTATAGCAGTCCCTTGGTCTCTTTGCTGACTGTTTGAGAACTGTTCATGCGAGGATGGTGCCTCTGTGTGAGACCATTACAGAACGTCCGCCTGGCGGTGCCAGTGGCGCCAGGCCGTTGCCTGGCGTGCTGACGGTCACGTCTGTAGAGAAATGCATCAGACCCCACTGACAGGGTCCGTTTCCCCCATGTCCGCACCTCGGGCGACTCAGGCTGTGTGTACGAGCGGCTGTGTGCAGCAGCCCCTGTGTGTCGCCCTCCCCTCCCCGCGCTGGGTCATGGTCTGCAGACCGTATGAGAGATTGAAGAGGTTCACAGAACGCGGGAGGCGATCGGGAGTGAATTACGTCGGCGAGCTCCGTGCTCCCTGGAAGGCGGTGGATTGGAGATTGGATTGGAGAAGTTCACAGAACGCGGGAGGCGTTCGGAAGTGAATTACGTCGGCGAGCTCCGTGCTCCCTGGAAGGCGGCGGATTGGAGATTGGATTGGGGGGTTCACAGAACACGGGAGGCGATCGTAAGTGAATTACGTTGGCGAGCTCCGTGCTCCCTGGAAGGCGGTGGATTGGAGATTGGATTAGAGAGGTTCACAGAACGCGGGAGGCGATCGGAAGTGAATTACGTCGGCGAGCTCCGTGCTCCCTGGAAGGCGGTTGTTACCTAATGCTCTCAGCCATGGACGGAACCACCACTGACGCTGCTTTTAAGCCACGCTGGTTGCCATTTGGGCCCTCCCCAAGTCCCAGTGCCTTTTGAGCAGATTGGGTTGTGGTTGCGTAGTCATCCTACAAAATGACAGCATAACAGATTGGACGCAAGTAACACTTAATGGACGGTTATGCCTGGCTCCCAGATTTCAATTGGTGCTATGGATCGACAACTGTGGGTCTGTTTCGTCCTGTGCGCTCCTGTTATATTCTCTCGTGTTCATCTTTTGGATCGAATTCGTCAGTCAGAGCGAATCATCCGCCACCCAAGGCGATCCTATTTCCCTCCCCTCGATCCAACCGAATGCTCCGCTTAGGTCGTTCTCGTTAAATGAAATCAAGCGCTTCTTGTCATCCTAAATCGTGATATCTCGGGGCGGTTCGATGGCTTTGTTTTGTGTGGATTTTTTCGAGCTTATCTGAGTAAAAGGGCAAAAGATGCATCTGCATTTGTCGCAGAGGCCTAGGTGAAACGAATCTTGCGCATCCGTGTTTTAACTGTTGCAGTCGCATTTCTTTATAAGCTCATAAACTAGCTAGCATATTTTTCATTGGTTACACGAGCGGTCCGGCGCCTTATTCCGGATGGCAGTTTCACCATTCACGGCCAAGCGACGGCACGATCGCGTGCGTCAGCGTGTGTGGGTGTGACTAGCCGCGCGGACGACAATTTTGTTGAGAGGGGTCGAGCCTCGTTAGAAGCTCTCATCAGGGGCCTGGCTGTGAAGAAGCAGGTATGCATCCCCACCATGCCTATTTTTCTGTTCTTGAAGGCTCCAGATGTTGAAATTGATGTGCTCTAGTGAGAAGTGTGAAATTAGGTGCCTTTCGGTGGTGATTTATTTTAACCTGATGATAGGGAAACCGCCTTTACTAATGAAGAGATGAGATCGTGCGCCCACCTCCGGTCCACCCCTGGCTTAGGTAGAGATGAGATCGTGCGCCCACCTCCGGTCCACCCCTGGCTTAGGTAGAGATGAGATCGTGCGCCCACCTCTGACTAAGGTAGAGATGAGATCGTGCGCCCACCTCTGGCTAAGGTAGAGATCAGATCGTGCGCCCACCTCTGGCTAAGGTAGAGATCAGATCGTGCGCTCACCTCTGGCTAAGGTAGAGACGAGATCGTGCGCTCACCTCTGGCTAAGGTAGAGATGAGATCGCGCGCTCACCTCTGGCTAAGGTAGAGATGAGATCGTGCGCTCACCTCTGGCTAAGGTAGAGATGAGATCGTGCGCTCACCTCTGGCTAAGGGAGAGATGAGATCGTGCGCTCACCTCTGGCTAAGGGAGAGACGAGATCGTGCGCTCACCTCTGGTCCACTTCTGTTGGGCACCTCTGCCTATGTCATATGTGGTCACCAAATCGTCTGATGGAATCTGACACTGGGTAAGACATTAGCCGGTACCTTACATTGAATAACATTTTGTGGAGAAGTCCCGTTGGCAGCGTGCGCTGCAGCTCGCAGCGAAAACATGCTTCGATACCCGCGTTCCAAATAAAAACGTCAAACAATGCAGCTGCATCGTATTCATTGTGTGTGTGTGTGTGTGTGTGTGTGTGTGTGTGTGTGTGTGTGTGTGTGTGTGTGTGTGTGTGTGTGTGTGGTGTGTGTGTGTGTGTGTGTGTGTGTGTGTGTGTGTGTGTGTGTGTGTGTGTGTGTGTGTGTGTGTGTGTGTGTGTGTGTGTGTGTGTGTGTGTGTGTGTGTGTGTGTGTGTGTGTGTGTGTGTTTGAAGTGGGCTGTATGTTTGTGGGGGAGTTGATATGTCTTATGTATGGGGTATAAACTACACCAGCTTTTAAAGAGCTCACTAAAGCAGGCCGTGCATCGCATACAGCCGCTGAAGAAACCTAGCTATTGGAGAGACATGCTGCAGGGCAACGAGGTGTCAACATCAGACGAGCGGATTAGCAGAGGGCAGGCCAGATGTGGGGAAAACCAGCGACAGACGAAACATTAGAGGCACCGCTCAACCAGAGAGGCCAGGCCAGATGTGGGGAAAGCCAGCGACAGACGAAACATTAGAGGCACCGCTCAACCAGAGAGCCACCAAGGCCAGATGTGGGGAAAACCGACAGACTAGACACCGTCAACCGGAACAGGCATGATAGGGCACCATCAACAAGAGGCAGGCCAAGAGCCAGATGTGGGAAAACCAGCGACGAAGCGAAAAAAGACCATAGAGAGGCAGACCAATGTGGGAAAACACCACGACGGTCAAAACATTAGAGGTATCACTCAACCAGAGAGGCCAGACCAGATGTGGGAAAAGCAGCGATAGGCGAAACATTGAAGGCACCTCCCAACCTGAGAGGCCAGGCCAGATGTGGGGAAAACCGGCGACAGGCGAAACATGAGAGGCATTGTTCAACCGACTGTGCATTATGGATACCGCTTGCCTAGCAGGTCAAACATTAGAGGTAGTAGACCCGTGCCGTAGACCCGTGCCGTTGACCCGTGCCGTAGACCCGTACCGTAGACCCGTACCGTAGACCCGTGCCGTAGACCCGTACCGTAGACCCGTACCGTAGACCCGTGCCGTAGACCCGTACCGTAGACCCGTACCGTAGACCCGTGCCGTAGACTCGTACCGTAGACCCGTGCCGTAGACCCGTACCGTAGAGCTGTTGATGAGATATGGCGAGCGTGAGCGCCTTTAAAGTGAGCTGGACCTGACAACGGCCGCTGGCACAGGCCGAACAACACAGGTTCTCTTGACGCTGCCTGGCATTATGGACATCGCGTAAAGCAGGCTGGACCTCAGAGGCCCTGTCTGAAGCAGAACGGACGTCGGAGAGATCGTTTGGACGGCCGGGAGCCGGCCACGTGATCCCGGCGATCAAATCTGACTTTACAATGAGGCGGCCGCGGCGCTCAAAGCCGGTGATCGGCGACCGTCGCCCGGTAATGGTCCGCAGGGCGCCTGGCGTCGATATGACTTCCGCCGGGCTCATCGTCGAGCCCGCCGCGGACTCAGCCGGTCCCCGGCCTCTGTCGTCGGGCCCGCCGCGGACCCAGCCGGTCCCCGGCTGCTCTCGTTGGGCCCGCCGCGGACCCAGCCGGTCCCCGGCCTCTGTCGTCGCGCCCGCCGTGGGCCCAGCCGGTCCCCGGCCTCTGTCGTCGGGCCCGCCGTGGGCCCAGCCAGTCCCCGGCCTCTGTCGTTGGGCCCGCCGCGGACCCAGCCGGTCCCCGGCCTCTGTCGTCGAGCCCGCCGCGGACCCAGCCGGTCCCCGGCCGCTGTCGTCGGGCCCGCCGTGGACCCAGCTAGTCCCCGGCCTCTGTCGTCGGGCCCGCCGTGGACCCAGCCGGTCCCCGGCCTCTGTCGTCGAGCCCGCCGTGGGCCCAGCCGGTCCCCGGCCTCTGTCGTTGGGCCCGCCGCGGACCCAGTCGATCCCCGACCTGGGTCGTGGGCCCGCCGCGAACCCAGCCGGTCCCCGGTCTCTGTCGTCGGGCCTGCCGCGGACCCAGTCGATCCCCGACCTGGGTCGTGAGCCCGCCGCGAACCCAGCCGGTCCCCAGCCTCGGTCATTGGGCCCGCCGTGGGCCCAGCCGGTCCCGACTTCGAGCGGCACGCTGCTGCCTCGTTTTGGAGTGCACTGCCCGGTGCTCAGATTCATTGCAGCAGTGAACTGGGCTGAGAATAAGGGGAATATTAGCTACTGAATGGCATCTCGACAAGCCGATTCGTTTATCTCGCAAAGCTCGATAACATAACGCGTGAGTTATGACACGGGGTGTGTCTTAATCTTAAGCTATCGTGCGCACAAGCTTGCTTGAAAAAAAAAGATGATGAGTGCCACCCGAGCCATAACTGGGAGAATGAATAACCGTAGCTATTAAAAGCATGCAGATTTGTGCCGCTCTGTTGTTGTTTAATGAAACCAGGACGATGCATAACGAAACGTTTCACGTACATTTTAAGACACCATGAAGAATAAAACACATGCTATATTTGGGTGCACATAATGCCATTTCCAATTACCTTACCCATACACAAGCTAACGAACCATGTGAAATTCGAAGTTACAACCATATGTGGAGTGAAATCTTGAGTTTAAATCAGTGTACAGACTTACGGCTACAGGCTAACGGCTACGGTTCTGTTAGCTTTCTCCGTTCGTCAGCGGCTGCTCTACGGGCCATTTTATTGCGGTGAATCCATTTTATTGTGTCTGGATTTTTTGTTTGAATTTAGAGAACTTGCAAAGCGAAGCTTTTCGCGTTTGTCCTGAACCCACCACCCCAGTTGCGCCGTTCCATTTCATCGGATAAGTTCAACTCCCGCGTTTTTTTCCATGCAAGACCGTGGATGGCTTTTACGCAACATGGCCACCGTACGTGACGTGCAACGCCACGACCCGGCGCCACGGCCTGATTGGCCCTCTTTAGTCAGTTGTCAGCTGACGTTCCAAGCCAGCGGAGCCAAACAGCGCACTTGTTGTCAGACTCGTGTTCAGTGCCGCTGGATGACGAGTCTAGCACTTTGTCCTAGGTCAAAGAAGTGGGGATTTACGGGGGGCATCCGTATTCTTGACGGCGTTTCTTTTCATGCCAATAGACGTGGTTCTGAAGTCTGGGGACTGTGAGGACGTGTCGCCACTGCGCCGGACCATACGGCCTATGAAAAGAAAGTGCGGACTTTTGGTCTCCTATTCTTATTCAACTGAAGTGAAGTTCAAACGTATATTTTGCGCAATGGTATGGAAATGGATCCAAGTCAAAGTTGTTGCTTTTAGTGTGTCCAAACCTCATAATTGCACATACCTGGGGCCGGGTGGCTATGGCGACGGTTGACCAGTCCAGGCACCCTTTTCTGTCGATATTGCACGCCAGATAAAATCGCCCGCGGACTTTCAATTTGGCATCATCAATGAGAGGAAAGCCTTCGATATTGCAGCGCCCGTCGATAAAGCTCGCACTCCATTGGTGGACCTAGAGTGACGTCACAAAGAAGGCGGCTACCATTGGCTGACGCCGGGCTTTTGTTCCTTCATTACCCTGGCATTCAGATCTAGGTAAGCCTCCGCTCATTCGAAGCTTATCATCGGACTGGCGTCGGAAGTGCCGAAATTGCGGCACCGCGGCGGGGAGGGCAATTTATTGCATTTTTGGCTTCATTAGACTCTGCGACAGTGATTAGAGGGATGGCGGCTGGCGGCGGGGGATATCGGCGCCGGCATATGAGGGGGTCCGGAGATATAAGGGTCAGGAAGCGGTGCGATCCGGGCACTCGAGGGCGTGCCGGGCCGGCGGATGTGGCGCCGCTTCCTCGGGCGGCGCCGCTGACTGGACCGGCCATCCGGGGTTGCTGACAGTCCGCCTCCGGCGTCATATCCTGCCCGTGAGACGCGCTCAGGCTTGACGGCGTGACACGGCGTGAGGGGGTCTGCCCGGTGACCTGTGTGACGCGGACGTGAGCCGCGTGCCTGCGTGACGGCCGGTATGTGGAGTTTCCCGAAGCCGGGCTACTCGCGCTGCGAGATGGACGAGCTGCGCCACCGGCTGCACCACTCGGCTATGCTGTACAGCCACGGTAAGCGCGCCGCCACGTCAGAGCGGGGCGCGCCCCTCGGCAGCCACGGTAAGCGCGCCGCCACGTCAGAGCGGGGCGCGCCCCTCGGCAGCCACGGAGAGCGCGCTCAGACCACCGCGCCTCCGCTGCGTGTCAGCCGCACCAAGCCACTTGGGATGAACGGACTCAGTTGCCGGTATCGCACCTTACTTTTTAAACGCTTTGGCGATATTGTTCGTGACTTAGAAGCATGGTGCACTTAGTTCCGAATGTCAACCTAACCCTAACAACCTGAGGCATCCAAAAAAGTACCGAATGACTTGAAAGTAATCATAGAATGCATGCAATTACAAGCCGGAATAGTTGTGGAAGCGAGGGGAGACGGAAAATTGACGCGTTCCCACTTTAAAGCGTAGCGTTGTCGCCGAGGCGATGTCCCTTTCATGCCTAGGAACGTCCATAGGCCAATACGAAGAGGAAGCTAGCCGCTTTATTGCCTCGCTGCGGTCCGTGTTATCCGAGGGATCGTCTTAGCCGATGTTCTGTTTTTGTACGATGACTTTGTCGTCCGGTGAGTGGTTGTATTCTGCCAGCAATTCCAGGTCCACACAGACAGCTAGCTCACTTTTACAGACAAAGCTATCTTTATCGTATAACATCTACCGTTTCCAGTCAGCTGAGAGAAAGACTTTGCGAATGGTCGCCGTGAGATGATGTATTTAGTAGTTTTAAGGAACTATCCACCATCAAGCCATTAATTCTCTGCTATGTTTGAAGGGAGTCAGCTTTATAGACCCATTTCAAACTCATACGGAACCTGGGCTGGGACCAGGGATGGGGGCGGGTTCCCATTCCCCAGGCCCGGATATTTCGCTGGCTGGGCTGGGGCCAGGGATGGGGGCGGGTTCCCATTCCTCAGGCCCGGATATTTCGTTTTTCACCATAGACGACTCTCAAACAGAAAGTTAAAATGCGGCGTGATGCGTGCCCACTAAGCTTTAGGCCCCTCCCTGAAGGGAATCTCGGCTGCACACCTGTACAAAACTGCAAATAAATGCATGCCGTAATACAACATGCTTAGTTGCTGGGTTTGCACAAGGTACTGGATACCTCGGTACGCGTCCCGTATCATTATACGTGACGTGTACGTCACCAATGCTCTGAAAGGGAAGCTGTATTGGTGAATTACTCCTCTTTGAGCAGGAACGTAGTTCTGTAAAATCGGCTGGGTAGGCTAAGCCATAAATAAAACTGCCCCTTTTCACGTGAGACCCCGTTTGTCAACGAATTAATTTCACTCCCGGTCGCATATGACGCTTCGCCCCCGGTCCGCACCGCTGAAGAGCGTAACGCTGCTGTCTCCGGGACTGATGCTGTGGCAGTGTCGCAGCAATGCATTTCGCAATGCAATATGTTCTTAAAATTTCGACAAAAGTTTGTGCAGCAAATAACTAAAATGCTCACTCTTCAATAGCAACATGAGCGCGTGTGAATAGGTAACGCGTTATACTTTTTAAGTCACGTAAGCTGCTGTGCCTTTCCATATTTTAGGGTTGCTCAGGTATTCTCTGCCGGTGATATCATGTGGCTTAAACGATTATGCCATTCATACGAAGGCTAGATATGCGGCCCCCCCCCCCTTTATTGTTTTTACGTGTTTGTTTTGATTCAACACACCGAGCTCTTTGCCTTCCTATTTTGACACGCCGAGTTTCGAAGCGTACAAATTATATCTGCAATGGTCACATTGCAAGCTTGTGCAAGCAAGCCGAGTCATCCGTAAAACGGCCTCCGGTCCTGATGTATTTCCTCCGGCCCTGGCGTATTCCCTCGTCCTCGTTTGCGTCGGTCGACCCGCTTCCCAAGCCTGGAGGGCCCGCTACACTGTGCGGCTGCCGGTGCGTCTCGCGCCGAGCGGGAGGACGCCGGCGTCACGGCCGCCGTCCGGTGGCGCCGGTGTCTTGCGGTGTCCGTACGGACGAGGCCGGCGCCTGACCTGCCGCGGGCGGCGCCGCTCTCCAGTCGCCGCTCGGCCCAGGCCGGCGCCGCTTCGAGGGCTGGTGGCGCCGGTGACGTATCAGACCTGGGCGGTCGCGGCTGGCGGCAGGTTGGTGGTGGCACGCGGCGCCGGTGACGTAACCGCTGAGACGGTCCCGGCGCCGCAGTCGGCCCGCTTATCTCCGGATGGCGCCAGCCGACGACCTCGTTCCTGACGCGGAGGGCGGCGGCGGCGGCGGCGGCGGCGGCGGTCAGGGCCACGCTCCTGCGGGCACACCTGAGTCACATGCCGCCTCGCAAACCGGCTCGAGCCGAGAACGCCGGCCACCACCTGTTGCGAAAAGTGGCCGTTGTGGCAGAGCCAAATAGTTCAGCAATATGCCAACTGGATGCCTAGAGCGGTGGCGGAGGAACAGCGGTATTGGGCTCCACCTTAGAGGCGCATCAGAGACAGGTCGCCCTATTCGGACACTGACCTCGTGGCTATTGGCCTTGCATAGAAGAAACGTCTCCGAGCCTGTGACATCTTACCCAACTTTTCACCTGCGGCTTGAGCATCGATCACTGGCAACGTCTTTTTTGTGCTCATGTCTTACAACTGGGAGACATTTTCGGTATAACTATCAATTTTGTCGGTGGTTCCCAGTTCTCAGTAGAACTCCCGAATCTTGAAGCAACAGTGGACATCGGCACGGCATCGGTCAGATGAAGAGCATCCATCAAACGTAACCGACTGAACCACACATGATAACTGGGTAAAAACAGGCCTGGCTTCTAGTGTGTGCTATCGGCACTCGTATGTAGTGCAGCCACGATTTTTTTGCCTCCCACATATTTTCCAGAGAGTGAAGGCTGTTGTACGTGCCGTGCGGATCAAATTCTGCAGTGTTTTGTCGGGACTGGCTGCGTCATGGTTTGCTTTACGCAGCCATGACGTTGTATCGTAAAAGAAGGCTGCAGTTAGGAGACTTCATGTGTGATTTATGTTTTGAAGTACTGAAGCATGTTATCCTTTGGTACTACTTATATCGCATGTTAGGTCCTGTTGCATACTTTATATTTATATAGCTCAATACATGACGTTACGGAGCTGTGATCAGGAATTTACGACTGTTCTTCATGTTGAGCATGTGGTTAGCGCTGGTGTGCTTGCTTGGTCTCAGGCCACTCTATACCTGACTGGGCTCTTGTTATATTTATTAAGCGTGTGTACGTGAAAAATGGAGATCATTATTGATCCATTCGCTGTTGAGAAATAGAACACATTGGTATATACCTGTGTCTCCGTGAAAGAGACGTTTGTGCGGTGCATACTGCACGATATTTATCATTCGGTGTTGACGGAATATCGCGGACCAATGTACGTGCACGTAAGTTCGTTCGGCTGCTGTTTACGACAGCGGCACTACATAACGATACTATGCAATCTTACCCCATCCCCGCCAGCAAACACGAGCTTCATCGACCCGCCCTTTTGAGCATGCGCTGTTACGCATGCACCCGTACCGGGAAATCTGGTTAGCTTGAGGGCAAAACCCGACCCCGGCCGGAGGCCGTTTCGGCTGCTTTTCGGGGAATCGGGCTCCCTTTCGATGTCTGTGCCGGCGGGCGGGCGGACCGGGCGGTGCAGTCTGACTCTCCAGGCGCCGGCCATCTGGCGGACGCCAACGGAACTGATTTCGGCTGGCCCGGGCCCGGCGGTCGACCATTGCCTGATCATTATGGTCGACCATTGCCTGATCATTATGGTCGGACGGTAGTGCGATATGTAGCTGCAGACGGCGCTTAACATTAACGCATCGGTGACTGCCAGGAGTGGCAGTATGTATCGGCCAATCCTCTGCCCCGTTGTGCAACCAAATGTCTGCTGCAATCGTGCACCGTAACCCGCCGTCACCAAAACGACATATAAAGCATTAAATGTCACGCCTCATTGACCAGTACCCTTTTACTATTTAGGTGGGGGTCTGACATGAACGACCCTTTCCAACTGTCAACAAGTCATGATATTTTATGAACATGAGAACTGTCGCCGGCTACGTGGATGTCTTTCAAAGAGATTTTCGCCAGATGCCTATCGCATAACCCCATCACCTGGATTGGCTAGGGAAAGCGAAGAAAGCATCTCAACCATGCAAAGTTCTGCGATAGCCCGCGTGGCTCTGGCCACAGTTTCCTGCAGCCCTTTCTACGGTGCATTACTGGTCTTATTGAGCTCTCACTGTATGGCTAACATAAAAACAGGTGCAAGCTTTGCAAACATAGAGTTTACGAAAAAGTTTTGGAGTGAAGCATGTGGGATGTTGCAGCATCTTCTCGTAATCCATTCGCTGACCCGGAAGTGCGCTCGTTTGCTATGATAATTTTGCCAGTTTTGGCTGTAACTTGGGAGACGAAGGCCGGGGAGCGGTGCTCCTATGGGGTTCTGTAAGTGTCAAGTAACGATGCTCTTCGTCATGCCGGGGTTTTAGCCATGATCTTACTGCCAAAGATATAGGGCAGCAGTGATCATAAATCAGCTGCTCGTGATCTTACTGTCAAAGACATAGGGCGGCAGTGATCATAAGTTAGCTGCTCGTGATCTTACTGTCAAAGACATAGGGCAGCAGTGATCACACATCAACTGCTCGTGATCTTACCGTCAAAGACATAGGGCAGCAGTGATCATGCATCAGCTGCTCGCGATCTTACTGTCAAAGACATAGGGCAGCAGTGATCATACATTAGCTCCTCGTGATCTTACTGTCAAAGACATAGGGCAGCGGTGATCACACATCAGATGCTCGTGATCTATCAGCGGTGCTGTGACCAGCGGGACGCTAAGACAGCATTCTGCGACCCTGTAAGCCTGTGAAAATCGCAACGTGAAAATTTGTTTCATTTCTGGTGTTGAACTTCCCTTCCAATTTCTCCTTCTGTTTGATATTCTGTTGTTGGGGGTCAGCTTGTTGGGAATCATTACATTGACAGTGCAGTACAGTCCAGTATCTTCGCAAAGTAAGCTGGGGGCTCCGAAGGGAAGGATTTGGCAAACGCACCTTAAAAATACGCGAAGACGAATTTCTCTCCGTATTCTGCCTCATTTATTTTTAAAGCGGGGTTGAAATTCGGAGCCTCTGCTCCCCCCCCCCCCCCATCTCCCCTCTTCCCAAATGAATAGAATACTATGCCCCTGGGCCAGAGTTTGCTTTAGCTTAGACACTAAGAGTAAACTTATAAGTTTTCTGCCCTTTAATTCGTCTGGCTGGTCGTGACTAGATTTGTATTTGGTGTCCATCATGTCTGCTTTCCTACTTGGATACGAGGTGCTTCAGATATGAACATAGCGGGTCTTCGGTCCGTCCAGCCCTGACTGGGTCCTTGTTTCAGACGTGGACACGCTGCGCCGGTCCGGGTGGGCGAGGCTGCCAGACGCGGTCGCTTCCGGGGCATTTCCCGGCGCCAAGCCCGGTGACCACAGGGCTGCTGCGATGGGTGAGAACATTACTCAGTTAGAACACGCGTGATTTATGAGAAAGACCGCCTAAGTGCCGTGCGAGCGCACCAGCTCATCGGACCCGCAGAGCCAGCCACGAGGGCGCCTCGGCGAACGTTGACGTGGCCGGCGCGGGTCGGGTCCGCATTCCAGAGATCACGGCCACCGTTTGCCGCGTCATCTCGGCCGTGACGTAACCAATTGGACGTCGCCATGTTTAGCGTCTTTCAACGCGGCGTCCATGGCGTCTGGCAACACAGCAATCACTCCGACTGATTTCTGGTGCATGGTGTCTCCCCTTCCCAGCGTGAGCACATGCCGGCACACTGGCTGGTGAGGCCAATGTTGTTGGATCGAGTGCTTATGGTTGGCGGAGCACATTCAGCCACCAGCACAGTTCACTAAAACTAGTGTATAGTTACTGGAGTCGCTACCAAACCAAAGGAACCAGCTGTTCTGAATGGTAACTGTCAGTCAGTCTTCATTCATTAGATGCAGGGGCGTAGTTTCCCTATTCAGTTGGGAGGTTAGGGTACGATATCAGCTTAAGAATCACATGAAACGTGATATGGTTCGATTTGTGGTCACCTGTATTCATTCTGGAATCTGAGTTCATTTCATCTGCCCCACACATTTGCGTCGGAAAGAGGGTGGGCTGGAAGAAGTGTTGTGTTGTCCTCATTCAGAGACGCAATCAGCCCCAGGGCTGTGAGTCTGAGTCTAGGGAAATGGCTCATTGAAGCCGAATTAGATACCAGTCCGCTTCGAAGTCATTTTGACCTTTCAAATGTTACCAGATCCGTTCGCCTGAAGCGACGGCGTGCCCGCTGGAGGTGATGACATTTCTATGGTGTGTCATTGTTAGCGTGATGCAAGACATTGCGGTGCATGTCACGGACTGTCGTCAACAGCGCGTCGATGATAAGTTCAGGTGGCGGGCGAGCAGCCACCGACGACGTGACCTCGGTTTCTTACATTTGTGCTGCACTTGCGAGACTTCGTGCGGAGAGCAATATCACGAATATGTACCTTCCAACAAGTCGCACTTATTATATATGGTTAATTACATTCGGCGCATTTCAATGAGTGCCTCACAACTTGCTACTCCCGGCCTCTCTCAGCTTTCTGAACGGAGTGATCGATGGAAGGACGGGGCAGCCCTTGGCCAGCGTCTAAATGAATTCGATGTGGGTGCAGGCCCGAACGTCGTGAACGCCCGCGAGGTGAACAGTAGTGACCGTGTCCGCCCGCGCGCCGCAGGTCAGCAGGAGGCGAGGACCGAGTGCCTGCGGCTGGCCGGCCAGACGTCTGGCCAGATCCAGCTGTGGCAGTTCCTGCTGGAGCTGCTCGGCGACCCGGCGCAGCATGCCAGCTGTATCGTCTGGGAGGGCCGCGACGGCGAGTTCAAGCTTACCAACCCGGACGAGGTGGCGCGCAAGTGGGGCGAGCGCAAGAGCAAGCCCAACATGAACTACGACAAACTCAGCCGAGCGCTCAGGTGCGGCGGCGGAGCTCAGTGCCGGCGGCGCTGCAGTCTCAGTGGCGCTGGCGGACCGGCTGCCCCATGACGTGTTCGTCCGACGGTCAGCGTCAGACGTGGTGTTCTACGAACCGCGCGGCCTTTCGCATGATTCCAAGCTTACACTGCGTCGAATGCGTCTCCCTCGGAGGCTAGACGTGACCTCCAGTCTGGTCATTCAGTAGAGCAACCGTCGCAAATGAACCACTGTGTCGGTTGAAGCGTTGTCAGTTTCGGTTCAGTCGGTGCCTCGTAGCTCACACCAGTTCTCACGGATGGCTCGGTTTCATTTCAGGTATTACTACGATAAGAATATGATGACCAAAGTGCACGGAAAGCGGTACGCTTACAAGTTTGACTTCGTGGCGCTGTACCAGGCCATTCAGAGCCAGAGCAGCAGCGAGAGCAGCACGTACAAGTACCCCGGCGAGCTGACGTTCCTGTCGCCGCAGGTGACGCCGCTCATGTCGAGCTCGGCCACACTCGGCTCGACATCGGCCTACTGCGCCCAGGCGCCGGCCCCCGGTGGTCCCCTGTACGCGCCGCTCTCCCCCCGGCCCCCATACACGTGAGCGGCGGCCGGCCACCGGCGCCCGCCTGTGCACCGCCCGTTCGCCCCGGTCTCCCGACGGTGGGGCCTCGCCGCTCCCGCTCCGGCCTCCCAACGGTGGGGCCTCGCCGCTCCCGCTCCGGCCTCCCGACAGTGGGGCGCCGCCGCTCTTGCTCCAGCCTCCCGACAGTGGGGCGCAGCCGCTCTCGCTCCAGCCTCCCGACAGTGGGCGCAGCCGCTCCCGCTCCAGCCCCCCGACAGTGGGGCGCCGCCGCTCCGGGTCCCCTCCAAGCGCTGCCGCGAATCCAGAGGATGTTCCGGGGGACGAGGACAGCGCGTGCGACGGTCCAGGCTGGTTGCGCGTCGGAGCTGTCTGGAGGGCGAGCGTTGCCTAGCTCAGGGCTCTCGGGGCGAATGCTGCGGGCGGAGGCGGACGCGACTGGTAGGAGGCAGGAGGATAACTGTGATGACTGAGGTGCTCTGCATGTAAGAGTGAGTGATTTATAGGTACCGGTGGCTGGCGTCAAGTGTGAAAATGGCGAAGGAATGTATTTATTGCGTTTGAGATAACTGTGTTGACTGGTACTGTGTTTCGATGCCTCCATCTGCTAATCGATTTCGTTGGGAGTCTCAAGCGCTGACCACCGCTCGACGCGATTCACCATTTCTTTATATAAGAGCGTTTGGAATATTGTTATTTTTGCCCCTGTGGTTTGGGATGAGTACAACGTGGGACGGCGCAGTATTTCGTAATCATTTTGCCTACATTGGATTTTAGTACCACTACCACTGTGCACTTTTTTAAAAGGATACTCATTTTCGTGCTGTGCTTTATTTGCAGCAATGGTACAACAATATTGGCCAATTGTGCAACTAGCAGTGAAGTGAACGGCCATTTTCACTCCATGTTTTCCAAACTTTTTCACCCAGCCTGCAAAACCATGCAGTGGTGGCCTGATGAGTAAATCGACTGGCTAAAGAACGCGCTGAAATTGACGATGTTCAGCAATGTTTTGTAAAAAAAATACGAAAATTTATATTTTTACATTGTTTTTAGTAGCCACATGCGATCCAACTACCACCTTGCCGCAGCATGTTCACGTCAGCAATTCTGGTACTAAACCCGTATAATATAACAAAAGCAACAATGCAAGATACCTGTTGGACTACTCTACCCGACCAATGCGTGTGTTGCATCGCGCTCATAGGATGAAATCATGATAAGTCAAACAGGAGTAGGCTCATTAGGGGGAGTATTATCGTGCACAAAACAGGCACCGTCGGCCTCTTCAGCCCTTGTTCGGCACCGACTGAAGTTATGAATCATGGCCAAATGCGGTCACCCCCGGCGCCGCTCCGATGAGGAACACTTACAGCTGTTAGCAAGAATTTCCACTCATGCCGTCTCAAGAAATGCCACCGTGGCGTCAAGTTCTTGTACCAAGGCATTACCACCCGTGCACATGTCAGATATTAAATGTTTTCCTCTGAAATCATGAAACTTCGGAAGCATAAAGCGCGTTGCCAACGGCAATCTCATCAGCGTTCACCCCTAATGCTGACAGCGAGCTGGAGCTTATTGTGCGGCCTCCTGGTATCGGGGGCCGAGGTATGATCTCCCGGGTGGCAGGCGTCCGCGGCTGGCTTCTGCGCCCGCTCCGACGTCTGGTGTGGCGCCTGCGGCGCCACACCAGACTCGTTTTGTGGCGCCGCAGGCGCCACCTATCGCCTTATATGGCAGGCCCATTCCGTCTTACTCAGCGCGGCTTCCGCGGAACTCGCGATCACATCCCTAGCCGCGAGGACAAGGGGGGGGGGGGATGCGACAGCTCACCGTTCTCGGTGCGTGGCGGCGGGGGCGTCGCCGAACTGCTGGCGAACACGAATCGCTACGTTCCCGAGCGTGTTCAGGAGCAAGCAAGAGGCCGAAGCCGACGTCAGCTTGAGTTTCCCTTGGAAGGCGGAACTGATGCTGGGTGTTCATTGTTGGTTACCGGGAAGGCGTCGATTTTGTGAATGTTTCATCTCGCGTTGGCATATTTCATGTCGAAACTAGAGGTTTATTGCTCGATGTCGTGAGATGGTTTAGGCGGCGTGGTTGGTTTAAGGTGTCCAGAGTAGCGTGATTGTTTTTTGTGATACATTAGATGTGTGCATCAGGTTTCTCTTGAGCCTTTGTTGTACATTGTACGTGCCTGTTAGTCAATAAATTATCTCAATGGTTCGCTCCAGATCTGATCAAGGATAGAAGGTGGACGCTCCGTATCTACGTTACCAGTTGAGCGCATTAATACTTAATGTTCCAAACATGGTGTATGAAGAGACCTATGTGAGTTTGGATCCCGTGGCATGCCTGTACAATGCCAATAGAGTATGTTGCAGCTCACGCAATGCAAGCTGATAATCACATTCAGCAAGACAGGGCATATTCACGCTCCTTGTGAGCCCGTTGTCCGCCGTGAGGTCCGGGGAAGCGTCTCTGGGGGACTCAGCGTGCACCGGCCAGACTGAGCGGCTCGGCCTCGGGGAAGCGTCTCTGACCACGACAGGGGGACTCAGCGTGCACCGGCCAGACTGAGCGGCCTCGGGGAAGCGTCTCTGACCACGACAGGGGGACTCAGCGTGCACCGGCCAGACTGAGCGGCTCGGCCTCGGGGAAGCGTCTCCGACCACGACAGGGGGACTCAGCGTGCACCGGCCAGACTGAGCGGCTCGGCCCCGGGGAAGCGTCTCTGACCACGACAGGGGGACTCAGTGTGCAGCGGCCAGACTGAGCGGTTCGGCCTCGGGGAAGCGTCTCTGACCACGACAGGGGGACTCAGCGTGCACCGGCCAGACTGAGCGGCTCGGCCTCGGGGAAGCGTCTCTGACCACGACAGGGGGACTCAGCGTGCACCGGCCGCACCGAGCGGTTCGGCCCCGGGGAAGCGTCTCTGGGGGACTCGGTGTGCGCCGGCCAGACTGAGCGGTTCGGCCCCGGCGAAGCGTCTCTGACCACGACAGGGGGACTCAGTGTGCAGCGGCCGCACTGAGCGGCCCGGCAGCGTTTCACAGCATGACAGCGTCAATGTGCGCATTAGCAAGAGGACCACAAGGCGGCGGGCCGAGGGGTGAGACGTGCCTCTGGCCAGCGAAAGGCTAGTAAGGCTGGCGATTCAACAAGTCGCTGGACTTAACTGGGCCACATCTCGTATTATCACCCGGCGGGCACCCGAAGCGTTAAGATTGTGACTGGACACCGGACACCGAGCGCCGACATCAGGAGCTCTGTTAAGGAGGCTGGCGATATAGTGTATCCATTAGAGATCATATGCGCATAGAGAACATAAAACAACAGTTAATAACTACGCTTTGATGGACGAAACACCATTGAAGGAAGAAAAGCAGACCAAACATCTGAAATTTTACACAAGCCTAATTAGCTTCACGGATGCGGACCCACACCACACCATTGACACCGTTATGCTGCTTCAATGATCAGTTCGGCCAAACCGAAATCCTTACCCACACGGATGGCACCACCCGCAGGCCAAACCAACGACACCATTCGTGCACTACCCAGGATTTGTGTGGGATCTGACCACAGATAGCTGTACCACGCCGTGTGGCAACTCAGGCGGTGGTCATTGATCCCCAGCATATAATATCTCTGAGTGCGTCTACAGAACAAATTTGTTACGGCCACTGGAGCCGTGTAAGCATGCATCGCTGCAGGCATACGTGAGCATACGGGTCAAAACTGAGGAGGGGTGCAGGGGGTCATGGTCTTTCCTGAGGAGGGGTGCAGGGGGTCATGGTCTTTCCAACTGAGGAGGGGCGCAGGGGGTCATGGTCTTTCCTGAGGAGGGGTGCCGGGGGTCATGGTCTTTCCTGAGGAGAGGTGCAGGGGGTCATGGTCTTTCCTGAGGAGAGGTGCAGGGGGTCGTGGTTTTTCCTGAGGAGGGGTGCAGTGGGTTATGGTCTTTCCGACTGAGGAGGGGCGCAGGGGGTCATGGTCTTTCCTGAGGAGGGGTGCCGGGGGTCATGGTCTTTCCTGAGGAGAGGTGCAGGGGGTCATGGTCTTTCCTGAGGAGGGGTGCAGGGGGTCATGGTCTTTCCTGAGGAGGGGCGCAGGGGGTCATGGTCTTTCCTGAGGAGGGGTGCCGAGGGTCATGGTCTTTCCTGAGGAGGGGTGCAGGGGGTCATGGTCTTTCCTGAGGAGAGGTGTAGGGGGTCATGGTCTTTCCTGAGGAGGGGTGCAGGGGGTCATGGTCTTTTCTGAGGAGGGGTGCAGGGGGTCATGGTCTTTTCTGAGGAGGGGTGCAGGGGGTCATGGTCTTTCCTGAGGAGGGGTGCCGGGGGTCATGGTCCTTCCTGAGGAGGGGTGCAGGGGGTCATGGTCTTTCCTGAGGAGGGGTGCCGGGGGTCATGGTCTTTTCTGAGGAGGGGTGCAGGGGGTCATGGTCTTTCCAACTGAGGAGGGGTGCAGTGGGTCATGGTCTTTCCTGAGGAGGGGTACAGGGGGTCATGGTCTTTCCAACCTTCGTAAAATTTTAACATCAATGCTATGGTTATGCATATGACGAAACAAAACGGTTTTGGCCCTTGCCTTTCGGGGCACTGCTGCGCGCATGGCCGTCGGCTATAACACGTGAGCGCTCGTGGGGTGAAAATATTCAGGCAGCGTTCCTTAACCACGCCACAAACCTGTAGTCCATCAGCCCTGGCGTGGTGTGGCACATACCGCCATGACAGTCCTATGCGTGAAATTTGATCTTTCCTCGCGATACACCCCGAGAAGGTTTCCGTTTCACAGCAGGCACCCGCTTTTGATACAAATCTCTCACCTCATCCCGTGCGTGTCATTCATCCTCACGGTTATCCCCTCGAAAAAGCATGCACACACACACCCACACACATGTATTCCTAGAGGTGCCAGCGGCGACATCGCGGGTCGGACACGTAATAAACAGCGGCACGTCCGTCCGAACCGGCGCTCGCTTCGACAGGTCCGGGTGCGCAGGCCGGGCCCACAAACACATGACGCACCGGTCCGCTCTCGGCGGCGGCCGGGGCGCCCAGCCGGGTCCGGCTACACGTGCGGGTCGAACACGGTGTCCGGCCGCCGGTCGATGTAGTAGTACTTGCTGATCTTGCGCGCCTCCTTGCGGCGCTCGTTGATGATCCAGGTGGCCGGGCGCGGCCCGCGCACCTCCTTCGGTATGGCCAGCGGGTATTTGGGCTCCTCAGCGACGCCCTCAAACGGCGACACCTTGGCCAGGCGCTTCAGCAGCATCTGCTTGTGCAGGTCCTTCGGGTCGGCGTACTTGTCGAAGTAATGCACTACGCTCTCGCCCTTGGGGAACCAGCGCTGCCGCCGGATGTAGGGCGGCTTGAAGTCAAACTCGAACACCGGCTCCTTCCTCTGTAGCACGTTGTGGAAGAACTCGGTGACAGAGTAGTCCCAGTCACTCTGGAAGAACGCCAGACCAGCCGGCGTCAGCTGATCCTCGTGGCGCCGGTAGAACTGCTCCGTACTGAACTTTCGCCCGTCAAGGACGCCGCCTCCCGTTCCGGCCGACTCGGATTCTCTCGGTAGCACACCCTGCTGCTTATAGAGCACGAACACGATGCGGTGGTGGCCAGTGCCTCGGAATGGCAGCGGCTGCAGGTACTCGTACACCACATCGCCCCGCGACACGTCCGAGCCGGGGATGTTCTGCACCAGCCAGTGCACCAGCTCGGGGGCCTCGCCGCCCAGCGGGCCCTCCAGGTTAGTGCACACCAGCGTCCAGAGGCTGTGCTCGGGCGCCTCGAACGCCACGTCCGGCTGCCGGCTGGCCTCGGCCGGTTTGATGCTGTTGCCGACGTGCGCCACGGCGCACTCCTCCTCCCCGAGTGGGAACGATACGCGAAGCGGCAGCACCGGCGTGAAGAAGCCGACGCCGAACAGGTCGCCGAACACGCCGTAGTGCTCGGCCACGTTGCGCGCGTGCTCGGGCCCCAGCGCGTGCCGCCACTCGGCCTCCACCTGGTCGAGCGGCACGTACAGACAGCGCTCGCGCGCCGCCTGCTCCAGCGCCCGGTCCGCCTGGTTGCGCCGCACCGCCTCCACAAACTGGCGGCGGTTCGGCTCCGGCCGGTGACAGAAGCCGATGTTGACGGGCGCGGCGGCCGGCGAGCCGGCCGGGCCGCGCTGGCGCAGCGCCTCCAGCCGCTGCTCAAGCGTCAGCGCCTGGCCCGGCGGCCGGCCGCGTATCTTGAGCCGCGTGCGCACCAGCGGCCGCGCGATCAGCTGCACCTGCTGCGGCAGCCGCCACAGCGCCTGCGCCATGGCTCGGTACCGCGGGGAGCCCGGTCAGCGACCGCTCTCAAGGCAGCTTGTCACGAGCGGCGGCGGCCGACCTGCGGAGACAGCCATACCGGCGCACGGGTCAAACGGCGGCACAGCAGCCCACTGACGCCGTCCGCTCCAGGCCGGGGAGGACGCCCGGATAAATGCCAGCACAACAGCAAGTACCTTACACATTGGTGTATTTGTAATCAAATGTTATCGGTATCCAAATCAACGGGCCTAGGGCAATTTCCGAGGCAAAATGTTTTGCTTTCTGTGCATATATCCCAATCTTGATTTTTTAGAACGTTTAATCCGAACATTTTGAATGGAAGAATTTCTTGGATCGGAGCTCACACTAGGCACTGTTCGTTGTGCGAGTCCCGACCCCTACCATCTGATCACACAAATCCAGGCCAATGATAGAATTTGGTGGCAAAAGTTAAAGGTGGCACAAAGCCCGGCACGGTTCGTCCTGCTCTCTGACGTCACCTGACCCCTAATGAGGCCACTACCACCGGCTGCAGGTAATGTCTGTCAAAGGCAGATAGCGAGCGCCTAAGGAAACTCAAACCAAACCCGCCACAGGTGGGTAGGTCGGAAGGCAGGCGCTCTAACCAACTGAGCCATCAGGATGGAGGGACATGCCACTGAGCTGAGCAGACATAGACCAGACACAGATCACACCCTGAGCAGACAGTGGCCAGACACTGGGCAGATGCAGACCAGACACAGAACAGATGCCAAGCAGACACTGAGAAGACACAGACAAGACACAGACCAGACATAGACCAGACACAGACCAGGCAGACCAGACACCAAGCTATCAGGACAAAGGATGGACAGACATTGATGGCACATGTGAATGGGTACATTCTTAAAGACACACATTCCAATTTTCAGACACTGCCGACTGCAATGGGACAAGCTCTTTCGGATTAAATGCACAACTACACACCATTTAGCATGTAAACATGATCCTTTTATTACCAGATGCAACAAGTAGGACCAACAACAGCTATTTCATGTTTTCCTTGCAATGACACGAGCATAAGTGCCTTGCCATTAGTTCAAATGATGTGGATAGAATTGCTGCAATATTCAATGTACCACTGCTGACAGCTAGCCCCTGATACTACCCACATTAACTACTGAGATGGGGAAGTTGCAGAAGCATTGCAACATGAAGAAAGGACTCGCTGGTTAAATAAAACTTAAGACTGAATTGGAAGGGCATGCCATGGCTTCCCAAAAGTGCTTCTTAGAACCATAATGTTCTGGCTGTTTAAGTTATTGCTGTATATTGACCACTACACTTATGCCACCAAAAGTGTAAACTCAACTGTTTTTCCTTATATTTCAAGAATAATAGTGACATAGCTGTATGCAACATTGGCTTACTCCAGCCATGGATGCAATCCGGCATTTAGCACAGGCTTCACCAATATGAAAGTTCATGTAAGACCCATTTGAGGGAGCATTGCAAAAGGCAGCACAACAGTTCCACCCCCAGCTCCCCAAATAGGATTTTCCATCATAATTAGCCCACACTTTCACATAACAACCCTATTTCTGCCTCAATCAGTGCCATTTTGGACGGTCTGGAGGTCGTACACGTTTTCAGAACCCTCATTCAATGTACGTTGATCAATGCTGGATGTTGATTTGTAAAGAGGCATGGATAAACGTCCATTTAGACACCATGCATGAGCATGGAGGGGGCCCTCATATGCCATCAGGCAGTCCAGTGGATTCTAATAAATTATGGGGAGTGACCAACCTTTTTGAGTTTTGACCTGCCTTGGCTGCAACTTTGGTTGTAATTACATATTCCCTGCCCATAGGTAACAGAATTGTTTGAAATGCCCTCACCACCCTGAAGTTATATGCTAAGCAAGGTGCTGGTCTTGTTGATGACATCAAGCTTAAGCCTTCATCCACAGAGATTCTACTGAAATGCTACTATTTGAATATTGTGCTGAGGAATGCTATCCACATGCTGTATTACATCCACCAGGCAACTGATTATAAAGGAGTTTTGGTCAAAACCTACCAAATGGACATTTGGACTACAGATGATAAAATTGATGCCCATATTTTATAGCAAAAACATTTCACAACAGTAAATGAGGAGTCTCACTAAAATAAACAACATTAGAAGACCTGCTATTCCCTACTATCAGGGAACATTTCAGCTACAGAGAAATATGTCAGGACACCTGGCTTTGCAGTTCCAATAACACATCTTTAGAACAGCAGTATTTTTGGAGATGAGATTAGATTAAGGTGCTGCAAGATACATTTTAATCATGTATGCAAGGTATATAACATTTTTAGCTTCAAACAGAATAATGACAGCCTTTTTTCATATGAGTGTGTAAAAAAATTCATTAGTCATTGTTAAATGCAAGTAAAGAACAAAGTATCAGGGTGTGTTGTACTGCTACATCCCAGCTAAATATGCATTAATGAGAATGAAGAGGCATGCTAAAAGACCAGTTAAGAGTGTGTTTATATATTTTATATTCTAGGGAATAAAGTCCACCATTAAAGAACTGCTAGGCTTGACATACAAAATGCTCCACACAATTTTTTGCTTTATTTGTAATTCACTTTTCTGTAAGAAGCTGTTCCTCATACCATACCAATTCTGCAAAGCTTTTCACCTTAGGATAGACATCCTGGGAGGCATAGACCCATATCATACTGACATATAAATTTATGTCAGTGGCATGATGGCTTCAGCCAATCATAATGAAAATAAGTATCATGACTAGTACCACACTAATCTTAAAATTTACTATACACCAGTGGTAATGCTTCACCTGTAAGTATTTGTCAGAGTTGGAAAAACGTTTTGTTATCCTCATATCATACTCGTTGTCTCAAGACATCTTTGGAAGGCCTTACCCCTCCTAAATGTGCCAAATTACTCAACATTTTCATGATAAAGATGTCAAAAACACCCTAGACTTCCTACATAAATTAGGCTGCGTTCAAACCACATTGGCGTCACGCTATGGCACCGAAAGGAAAGCAGGCCCCACACCCTCGTTGCTCTGAAGTGCGGACGGGTGCAGAGCAACAGGTGCGCCATAAATGATTTTGCACATTGCACAGCCTAAAAGACAACTAAGTTTGCCTGGATTATCAGGGCAGCAATGTTTCGTGGCAAACAGCATACAAAACTAGAAATTTGCATATAAAAGACACCATAGATACACATCAAATGCATGAGGCCAATTTTCCTTACTGAAGCCTTCTTTAATCCAAATAAAAGGGATGGTATGGATATTCTGGAATGATAGCACCCCCCTGACGTGTTAGTATTCCGAGCCGTAAATGGTGCAGTGCAGACATTCGTGGTTTGCGGCGGCCCATGGGCCGCAAAAGTCAAAACGTAGAGCCGCAAAACATAGGCATTGATTAAATATGTTGGCTTGGTGACTGCAGCGTTATATTCAGTGTGGTGGTGTCCGTGTGTGCGCAAGTAGTTGGCCGCGATTATTGACTTCGAAGAAACGTTGTTTCTTTAGGGATAGCGCGCAGTGTCAGCCTCTGTCACCGTGGTCGGCACAGTTTCTGAGAGATATTCTATCAACAATTGACGATGGAAATGGATGTGAGTTCGATGGGTGATTGCACGATTGAATAGGCAAGCTTGGATCGTCCAATTCGGTGTCGATTTATTCGCATCACTACACTGGGGTGAAACATATGCTTAGCTGCAGTGGTACCAATCAGCATGTGCACATCAATGGTAATGGTTGTTGTCAGTGACAACCACTTTCTTCTTGTCCATGCACTGATCACATTTATACATTGTTAATGCAGCAGTGCTATCCATCAAGGGAATTGGTGAGATGGTTGTGTGTTGATGGATGTAGTGTGTCAAGGTACTTGAGTGGGTTGGGCATTTCCTCATCATTTGAGTATAGAATTAGGTATGGTTTGTGGGAATGTAAAGTGTAGGTACCTATTATGAATTTGTGGTGGCTATATGCTTTTATAGAAATATCTGCCAGCATCTAGTTTAATGGAACATTTGCAGATGCTCATGCTATAATCCTATCACTTTTTCAGAATAAACTGAAATTTGCAACCTTGCTACTTGTGATAATATGTATTGAGAAAATAACTGGTGAAGAACCAAAGAGGGAGCAGAAAAAACTGCAGATAGGCATCAAAAAAAGGATAGAAGATTGTGCAACCAAGTCTAGAAGAGGAGACCTTCTGCATATGCATTACACAGTATGGCCAATGCTGTTTGTCATATCTTTTCAATTGAATGTTGATGGATGGTACAGATGCAGGCATATTTTCACATAGTGTGGCATGTGAAATGACAGCTGGCTTTAATGTATGTGTTGTATGTAATGTATAGATGCATATATAGTATATGAGGATTGTCACCCCTGGCATTGGGATGGATTGCCGTCACTTAACATTTGTGTGATGTAAGTTAGGAATTTACATTCCTTCTCGCATGACATGTGGTTTTGTAAATATAACTTTATAATTAATGTGTGTATTTGTGTGTACATGTAGGAACCAAGTTACAGTGTTCTCAATCCTGTGTCTTGTTCTTGTCAGCCTCATGTCCTGAGATAAAAGTTCTGACCCAGGAACTTTTGTTGGGGTGCTTTAAATCATTTGTAAACATGGTGTGTAAACAGGCGGTCGGCCGACAGTGTCCGGGCCGTTGGTCTGCCTGTTGTCCAGCTGGCAGTGTCCGGGCCGTGGGTCCACCTGTTGTCCGACTGGCGGGTGCGGGACACCAGGACGTGTGGACGGTCGGCCGGCGGGTGGTGTCCGGGCCGTGGGTCCAGCCTGTTGTCCGGACTGGTGGGTGTGGGACACCAGGACGTGTGGACGGTCGGCCGGCGGGCTGGTGTCCGGGCCGTTGATCCGCTTGTTCGTCCGTCGGTCGGTAACCGAGCGCCGGGTACCGCCGCAGGGCACACTGGAGGACGGCACCGAGTTCGACAGCAGCGTACCCCGCGGCCAGCCGCTGACCTTCACACTCGGTTCGGGCCAGGTCATCAAGGGCTGGGACCAGGGACTTATCGGGTCAGTCTGTGTATCCGGCTGGGCGGCGCTGAAGGTCACTGGCCTCGGCACAGACGCGTATCTGGCGCTGGCCAACTGAATTGGCGAAGAGTGGACGCGCGTTACCCTGGCATTTTGTTATAACCTGCTGTAATGGAGAAACTCGCTGAGGAATGCAGAACTAGTTTCGATGGGCTCTTCACTTGTTCCCAATGGGTAAAAATAATGACGAACAACGATAGCCACTGATATTGGTTTTATCTGCACATATGTTTCCCGAGAGTGTCTTGGAAATTGCCACGTCGATTTAGCTGACGTGAACAAATAGGAATCATAGGCTGCCAAGATCACACGCGCGTAGTTTCCTGACGTGCCGTCCGTGCCGACCGGCGTCTTTGTTCGGGGGCTCGCCCCTCGCTGACTTCCGGAATCCGGCGCATCACCTGCTGCTGTGGTCGCTGCCGGCAGCATGTGCGAGGGTGAGCGGCGCAAGCTGGTGATCCCGCCGGACCTGGGCTACGGCAGCAGCGGCGCGCCGCCCAAGATCCCTGGCGGCGCTACGCTCATCTTCGAGGTCGACCTGGTCAAGATCGAGCGCAAGGACGAGCTGTGACCAGATGGCGCCACCGGCGGGCGTCGGCGCGCGCTCTGACGGACCGGCGCCACTGACTGACCAGGGGACTGACGGATTGGTGGACCAGTGGATGAACTTAACGACGAACTGGCAGACCGGTGGACCAGTGGACTAGTGGATAGGTGGACAAATGGAACCGGGGGACGGACAGGTGGACAGATGGATCCAGGGCGACGGACAGGTGGACGGTGGACAGGTGGACCAGAGGGGTGGTGGACCGATAGGTTAAGGGATGTCGGCGGACGGGTGGATGGTGGACAAGTGGACCAGAGGGGTGGTGGACTGATGGATCAAGGGAGATCGGCGGACTGGTGGGCGGAGCGAACGGCAGACTGATGCACCGGCGACCAGGGGACAGAGACGTCAGCTGACATGGAGATCGATAAATGCACGGGCCGCGTCACTCATCATTTGGGCACGATCGGCTGCTTTGCCGGGGGAGGCCTGGCCATTGAGATTTTTTGTGCTTTTTGGGGGAAGACTTTGAGTGTTGATTCTGTGGGTCAGTCGGGTTATGTTTCCGACGTTTGTCCGGTTGTGCTCACTAATACATTGCTAGATGGGTCAAATTTGTGTGTGGATCGTATGTTTGAGCATATGGTTGCTACAAACACAGCTGGTGAATGTTTGACATGCGCACGCACTGCACGAATGTCACGTCATGTTTTTGATTAACTAGTATCAGTTGAAGCGTGAGATAAGCTAATCTGGCCGATCAAGTAGTTTTTTGTAAAAATATCTCTTTATTCATAACAGGAAGACATGCACGTCCAATTGCTGCCGACTCCAAGCAGCGCAGCACGACCTATTTCGCGGAAGCGGTTGTAACAACGGACTGAGTAGAGGTCGGGGAGATGAGCGGCCATCCACCTTGGGTGGAGACATGAACAAGGTACAGAGAACACTAATGTAGTGGCTCTCTCGGTGACGACGTCCCTTTGTATGTGCTATCTTCTGTACATCACGCACGCTCCTGGCGAGCCATTGGTGCGCATGCGCACTGAGCTGCCCGGCAAACACACACACCGGCACCGTTTGATTTGAACCCTCTGACATTCGGGCCGGGCGTTGCTGTGCTCTCGCCGCCAGTCACCGCCCAATCACTCCGCCGGCTTTGTAAGTACGCACGCCGTCACTATGATCACACATAGGCCCAGCGGTCGGGCTCCGGCAGCGGTCGTGTCGGCGCCGTCACACCCGCCCTCTGCTGAGACAGACACACGCCGTGTGTACCTCAGGCCGCGGCCGTCCGCCAGGCTGGCAAGACAACGGGAACCCGCGCTCGGCCGGTCCGAGAGCCTCTCGCGTTCAGTCCGACTCGGCGGCGTCGCGAATGTGCTCGGCTTCATCTCGCGTCCCCACTTTCAACCTCGGTTTCGACTCTGTTCCGCCAGGTGAAGCCAGCGCGCATTCGGTGCCGGCAGCTGGCTGTCGTCCGCAGCTCGTGGCGGGCTCTGAGGAGCAGAACAGCACCAGTTAGTCGGCTTCGGGGCGTGCCGGCACCGTAGAGTCTGTCGCATGTTGTTCGCCAGTGCCAGTGCGTCCTGCTGAATGTCATACCATCGTAAGGACACATCGTAAGGACACATCGTAAGGACACATCGTAGGGACACATCGGGCCGTGCCAGACCTTGCGACACTGGGGTCCGCCGGGAACACGGAATCAGCCGAACTAGGATCCGCCGGCGATACGGAAGCTGTTGCGCCGGGGGTACGGAAGCTGTCCCATACGGCACAACGGGAGCCCAGAACAATCATGGGATCAGATTGTGGTCTAGTCTATTCATTTAGTATATATGGGCGCTGCATGACCTACAGCAGTCGATGCGCCCTAAAACCCCAAATCATCATCATCATCATATTCATTTAGTATGAAACAGGAGGGTGACGTGGAGCAGCAAACACCCTAAGAATGCAAAGTGGATGCATTTCAATTAACTTGGACGGATATTGAATTGGCTACGGCGAGTGGGGGGGGGGGGGGAGGGGGAAAGCCATCGCGCCAGCCGACAGCAGCAGCTCGGTAACTGGCTGGTGTGAGAGGGAGAAGCAGTCACCACGTGATGCCGGCGGCGGCACCTCGGTGACTGGCTGGTGTGAGAGGGAGAAGCAGTCACCACGTGGTGCCGGCGGCGGCAGCTCGGTAACTGGCTGGTGTGAGAGGGAGAAGCAGTCACCACGTGGTGCCGGCGGCGGCACCTCGGCAACTGGCCGGGCTGAGAGAGAGAAGCGGTCTTCACATGACGGCGGCAGCGGCTGCCTGGCAGTTGGCGGAGCGCCAGCAGTGCTCAACGCCGCGCGGACACGCCTCGGCAGGGCGGCGCTGGCCGGCCGCTGCCGGGAACTGTAACGTCTCGGGAGAAAGTGGCGCCGGCAGCGCCGCTCAACGGGCCATCAGCCAGCGCCACGTGACGGAGTTTCGTCGCAGCGTGACCGGGCACTTCACACCGGCGAGTCGCGTGACTTGCAGCCGTAATATGCAAGCAAATTCGCTCGTCTCCCAGTCGCCTTCTACCCGCGTGACTCTGGTCGTATTCGGTTAAGCTGTTCACACGGTCCGCTATGAAATCGGACCACGTATGTCCAGAGAGGCGAAAGTCGTCCGGTCAACAAAAGAAAGGTACCAACGTGCTCTACGTCTGTTCTTCACTACCTGAATGCCATTTTAACGTGGATAAAAGAAGCCCAGCAAAAACTTAGTGATCGCTTTGCTTGGACCAGTTTGATGGCGACATCGTTTTACGGCGGGTGCGCGCTGAAGAAGGGCGCCCACCTATGTGATTGATAAGAGAACGGATCCCCGCCGCCGGAGTCCTCTTCTTCCGATGCCCATAATATAAGTATGCCGTGAGCTCATCGGTATCTCGAGGCAATCGCGGACCGGTTCTTCGTTTCACCTCATAAACCGCCAGAGAACTGAAAGTGAAATTAGTTGGCACGGACGGCCAGCGTACCTTCTGGACAGGAAAGCGAGTTCATCTGGCACTGGGCCAGTGAATGCGATCTCCGACTAGCCCCATGACCAGCTCAGACTGCTCTCGCCAAACGGGACAGTAAAACGGCCGCACGATTGTCGCGGACAGCGACAGCGCAGGAATGGCCACACTACCGGGTCACGGGTCGGCTGTCAGGCTTAGTGATCCCAGTCAGGCTTAGCCAGGAAAGTGAACTCCGTAACCACACCTCGACCGGTCGGAGGAGGGGGAAGGGGGGCATCAATTTCTGTACATGATTAGGGACGAGCCGAGGGCCCAACGGCCTACCCTCTCCCAAATTTGTGCTTCTGAACAGATCTATGCACTTTATTTCGATGAACGGCACTTTTGATTGATACCCCATATTTTTAAGTTCTATAACCTCGATTTGAGCAGCATAATAGCAGCAATATCAGCCAACAAATTCTACCCAAAAAGATGTGAGTGAAATTCAACTTTCTTCCACATTTTTATAATATTCTAGCCAAAACATAACAGGGGGGCGTGGAGGGCAGTGAAGGCGGCAACTCGGCATGGGAGGGGGGGGGGGGCTAGGCTATCACAAAAGAATGCAAATCGATGCCCCAGCGTGGCCTTATCTGTTGATATCCATTGTTAACAAGCGTCATGCCGTTTAAATAGAATATCCTTCTTCTTATCCATAAACTTGCGTTAGCTCAGGGGAATCGCGGCTGAGCGAAGGTACTTAATTGTTGCCATGTGGCCAAACCCTCACCGGTGGCCTTCGGGGAAGGGAGAAGGGGGGTCGGTGGCGACCGGTCAAGGTAGCCCACATAGTCGGACGCGAAAGCTCTTCCATGCAAAAGCTGCATTCAAGAGGCTGTAAAAGCTGTTTTCTGGGAACAAAGATACCGCAGCGACCGTGCAGAGATGACAGCCAGCGGTCGAACGAGCGCAAGAGTGTCCAGGTGTTCACCACAGGGTGGGGCGGTTAACGTTCGTGATTGTAAGGAGAAAAACAGTTGCGGAATAACGATGGGAGTTCGCTGCTGTCGGACCAGACTTGAGGTATCTATAAAATGCACACTGATGGCCGTTTCGAAGCTCGCTTACTTATCGATCCCATCTCCAGGGAAGTGATCTCGCCAACAAAGCGGACGCTGAAGTTTTCTATCGGTTTCCTTCCCGCACGGTTACGAGCGATTTCGACAAAAACTCACCGGACGGGGCTCAGTGGTAGGACGGCGGTCCGTAGCTGGTGCTTGGACACTTGGTGACCGTGTGGTACTCGGGCTGGGTGTGCGTGGCGTACACGGTGTGGTACTGGTGCTTGGTGGCGTACTCCGTCACGTACATGTGCTGCGGCTTCTTCACCGTTTTCTGCGGGTCCAGAGCGGTTCGTTAGCGCGCGTCTGGGGACAGGGTGGCGCGCGGCTCTGACGCACGGGCTCGGGTCGATGTAGGAAGCTGTAGGTCAGAGCACACGTTCGCGGGTCTCACATTTAAGTTGAAAAACATTGGATGTGGCCGAAGGTAATGCATGGAGCTCAGCGTATCGCAAATTCCTTCGCGGTGCAAGCGGCAAGCAGGGCTCACTGTGTCTGTCTGCGCGATGCCATGGTCTGCACCCGTTCCAATGGACATTAGCGGCGGCCGGTTCGATTTCTTCGGGTTCGAGACGTGGTCCGCCAGAGACACGCCAGCAAACACACCGCGGCGTGATGATAAAAGCCATGATCCCGAGTACCCCAGACCGGAAGCTCGTGTCTTCCTCCGATGCATTTGCAGCGATTTTTGGACACCATCCCGCCTCCCCAACGGGCGACCGGCCATTCACTAGACTGCACAGGAGAGGCTTACCGAGCGTACCCATGCGAAACGAATGTTTTGCTCAAGACGTCCAGCACATGTCTGACTCCTGGGCAGAATGAGCTCAGAACGAATATTTTGTGGCTATTGATCTTTATTTAGTACTCACGTATACGGTTTCGTAGTAGGGCTCCTGCACCTTCTTGGTGTGGTACTTGGTCTCGTACTCTGTCACCGTTTCTGTGTAGTACTCGGGCTTCTTGACATACTGGGTCACAATGTCGGTGTAGTAGTTGGTCTTGGTGGCGTACTTGGTGATGTGCTTGGTGACGGTGTGGTGGTCCATGTAGTTATGCGTGTGCCACACATACTCGGTGTTGGTGTAGTCGGGGTGTTTGGCCACCAGCGCCTTGGTCTTGTACACCACTTGCGTCTCGGTGATGAGCTTGTATGGCAGCGTCTTGATAATCTCCTTCCACTCGGTGACTGTGGTGGGCCAGTAGAGCGTATCCGTCACGTACTTGTACATCGTGTACGGAATCACCTGGTGCTTGGTGGCCCAGTGCGTCTTGTATTGCGTCATCTTCCCCCAGGTCGTCTTGAAGTGAGTTTTGGGGTAGCACAACGGCTTCTCCACGGGTGGCGGTCCGTAGCTGGGGGCCGGAGCTCCGTAGCTGGGCGCTGGAGCTCCGTAGCTGGGGGCCGGAGCTCCGTAGCTCGGCGCTGGAGCTCCGTAGCTCGGCGCTGGAGCTCCATAGCTGGGTGCCAGCGGCGGCGGCCCGTAGGAAGGGCGCAGGGAGTATCCGGCGCGCTGTCGCCGGCCGCGCCCTCGCCGGGCCTCAGCCTCGGCCTTCGGAGCCGGCTCCGGGTCGCCGTGGGTCACCCAGACGGCCAGCAGAGCCAGGAGCAGAGCGTGTCGCAGCATCCTGTGGCGGCAAGAGGCGTCCACATCAGGCGGTAGCACAGCGCATAGATATTGTATTTATTTTACATCTCATTTTAGGCGGCTTACAGTCGTTCACGGATGGGTCTTTTGTGAGAGCTCGTTGCCAGTTAGATTGTCATGAGAGCCGCGCCTCGACCCGTCACTGGTTATCATGGGAACCCCGCCTCGACCCGTCACTGGTTATCATGGGAACCCCGCCTCGACCCGTCACTGGTTATCATGGGAGCCCCGCCTCGACCCGTCACTGGTTATCATGGGAACTCCGCCTCGACCCGTCACTGGTTATCATGGGAACCCCGCCTCGACCCGTCACTGGTTTCCCGTTGGTGCAGCATTGCAGGCCGGCCGGGCCTCATCGGAGACCTGACGGGTTAAGTGGCTCAGGTGGCGGCAGCAGCGATGCCGGATGCTTGCGTCAGCGGTGTGCCGGGCCCCCGCGAACGGTGAATGTAAGTCGCAGCGAAGCCCGCTGTTGCGTATCGCCCGCTTGGCCTGCCTAGTTCGGGACAATAATTATCTGGGCCCCGGTGGCCTCCGGGCGAGTCATACGGACGCGCGCCATCGCGAATTCGCGTCAGCAGCGACGGCCGCAGGTCGGGGCCTATTACGGGCTGCACAGGCCATAACGGGGCGGGGCTGATTTCTCTGGCGGTCGGTGACGCCGCCGGAGCCGCCGACTGAGGACCGGGTGGCGCAGCCCTGCCCGTCTACCGCCGGTGAAAGTCCTCTGACTGCACAGGGAGCAAGCAGGGCACACGGGCATTGGCACCGACACGCGCTGGTACAGTCCCTTCTGCCGGGCGGGATGTTGCAAACTCCTAACACGGCGCCACAGGTACTTGGAATATGTCATCACTGCACGTTGCTTATTCAGCGGCATGCATTATGCATCAATGTATTGTCTATGAAAAATTAAAGGAAATAGCAGCAATATCCGGTTTGTTTTGTATCGTGAGTGATAAGTGTGCAGTCGTGATACTATCACATTCGTTGTTAGCTGTCATTTTAGCTTGGCGTAGAGCATCGGAAGCCCGTGCCAGTGCGTCGCAAGGTCCGCATCCTGGAAACCGCACGGCATCGGCTCATCTTTTAGGAGTCGTTTGGTCAGCGACCAAGAAAACAGGTCAAAGCGGGACGCTCGTGACCAGTGTTCCGGCATCGCGGAGCCGCGTAAATATTCCGGAAGCAACTGTCCTCTGAACGGGAATCACGCTTATGGGGAAGTGAGGCAAGAGCCCTACTTACAGAGAGTGGGGCAGAAATCTTGCAACAGACCGCGTCCAGCGAAGACCGACTGCATAGTTATTCCCACTGGCACTTCCGCATGTGTGAAATGATTCGTCTCACCCGAGAAAATTCATTATCCATTTTCCCTAGAGCAAGCTGAAACTCTGATCCGAGGCAAAGGTTTTATGAGTCCAAAAATTCCGAGCAATTTTCCGTTTAACCCAAGTTAACACAAAAATTAGGCAGGAGTTATTACAGCGTAAAGACACGATCTATAGCAAGGGAAAGACAAAAGACACAAACCAAAGCAAAGAATTCATGACAATAGGCAAAAACTTTTGGTATGCTCCACTCAAAGGATTTTTCGATTCGCCGGTCACTTACGACAACCAGAATAAGGGAGAACTGAGCTGATGAGAACGTCGAACGAAACCCAACCCAGTAGCGGATCCAGAATTTCGTCAATGGCGGGGGGGGGGAGGGGAGAGAGACACGCAACATTACATGATGTCCAGGAGTTTGGGGTCCCTTAAAAAAAGCGCTCGTATTCAGACCATTAAATTTGAAGATTCTGATGCAAGTTTTTTATTAAGCGGCAATCCGGGGTAAGTATGGACATTATGGAGCGGGTCCACTGTTTCCAGATCATGGTGAATTGCATCATTTTGAGGGTGAGAATTTCGGAGAATATGTGACAAAATGAGCTATAGTTAGCGTCTTAATACCGTCCAATCAAGCAAGGCATTTGATTCCAAGGGCATTTACGGCTAGTCCATGTGATCAGCTGATAGCTGATGAATGACGCATAGTTTTTACTTTGACCGTAATGAAAGAGAACAATTCTGGCATTTCATTGGCAAAACATTCTGGCATTCAAATTGTATGAAGAACGTGATGCAAAAGTCCAATAAGTGTCACAGACTCAGTAACTAAAGGAAATGATATATGTGACGTCGAAGGCGCGTAAAGCAAAGTTCGGCAATTGCGCGCAGAAATTCTTTGTAGCATACCCGACCGCTGCTCTGAGGCAAAGGCGCCAAGGGGAATCCTCACGATTTCAATCTCGGACTGGTGCACATGACTGATTTAGCCAGGCCCGTACATACGATTAGGCGAAACGCCCTGGTGCTCGCAAGCACATGTGGGACTTTCGGCAGCAGAGTAAGATCCTTCTGATTTCATCTGAAGAACTCGCGACCAACGTGGAGGGCCCCAGAGCGATCAAGAGTGCCTCGGCTGATTCATGTTGACGTCGCGTCAACACTATAGGCCATTTGATAAAATGAGAAACCCAAGGCCAATAGGGTCGGCACCTGGGCGATCAATGGTGCCGCGGCAGGTCAACGAAGAGGCTTCTGTCAACAGAGTGGTGTCCTCAGAGCAAGCGAGAAGAGCCCAAGACCGGTGTAGTGGGCCCCTGAACGGTCAGGAGTGTCTGCCAGGTTATCATATAGGGCCCCGGCCAGAGCCGACAGGGCTCTCCGAGCCAATGGGAAGAACCCAAACTAGTGCACATTAGTTAATATCATTGAGCGGTGGAGAGTGCCTTGACAGATGAATCTAAAGGACAGCGGACAACAGCGTAGAGTCCTCTGAGCAAGAAACCTCCCGCGACCACGGGTGCCCAGGTAGGTCAGAAGCAATGGCCACGGCAAGAGTGAAGGGTCCTCTGTAAATGAGATGAAATGGAAAGTGTCCTAACTCAATGTAAAGGGCCCTAAGCATTAAGTGCCTCGGTGCGTTGACTTATATGGGTCCCGACAGCAGCGCAGGGTCCTCCGAGCGGATGCAAAGAATTCGAGAGCAACGTAGTAGAAGGCTCCTTGGTGACCTGATTAACCCGGAAATTGAACATATAGGGCCCTGGCAACAGGACAGGGCCCCTATGCAGCGTAATGATCATAAAAAATCCCCAATCACCACCCTCTCAATGAGCGAAGACTTACTTTGTCTGCTCGCGGGCGCTTTACCATCGCATATGGCTGTTCGTGGTCACCTAGAGGCCCGAATACATCCAATCTTGCTGTGTTGTATATTTTTTTATAAAAAAATACGTCCGTTTGGTTAGTTGTGGGCACCAATGGAGCCAGTGGGACCCGTTCGGAGCGCAAGAGAGAGGGGCGGGTGTCATGATCGCATGGTCCCCCCGAATCCGACATTGACCCGACCCCATGCGGTTTGAAAGAAGAAGATGATGGGGCGATTCCTTCTGCGCCGTGGTTTCCCGCCAGTCAACTGAGCAGCAGTGACCAGTACTAAAGCAGTACCTGGGGTGAGGGTTACTGGTTGGCATACCCTTATCACGAATCGAGCACGGCAAACGGCATAAGGAACAGAAAAAGTCTACCTGGATGCTCCCCTTAAACAAATTTGTACTTTTCCATGATACTTGGGAGTTTCATTGCGCAATTGAAAGCGCCAATGTAATGCTAAATGTAATGAACTGCGTTTCTGATGCGATTATAAAAATGTTACGAAGTGTATGGCGAACCTTTTTTTCATGACAAAAAAGAACGTACGCAAACGTCATGCATACATGGTGCATTCTTTATCATGGCACTGAGCGAGCTCACTCCTTCCAGTTTTTGCAACGGAATTGAGCTTTTACTGTTTTTTGTATGTAAAGATAACACGACCGCCAACAAACAGTTAAGGTATTTAACGGTGCGATAAGCTTTGCGGAACTAGATAACATTATCGAGACCTACATATGCTTTTCTCACATCGGTAGTCGGTGCCAGCACGGATGCGGTGTTGCAACGTCCGCCGCCATTAGCAATCAGTCCTTTCACGTGACCCTGTTGTAGAATCGGTGGTCTGCCATCGTGAACATCGCATGCCGTGTTTTTGTTGTGGCATGATAGTTGTGCTGAGTTGCAAGACAGATAACCCAAGATAGAGACTTGAGACACCTACATAAGATAGGAGACCCGGACAGCGAGATGTCACAGCTTGACTGACCAGCGAGGTACCTGAATCACACACCCTGCACCCCGCCTGCGTCGGCCGGGTCCCGCACGAGGCGGCCCGTGTACCGTTCAGGCGGAGCAGAGGGCGCCTCGCCGATGCGCCGTGTACCAGTGACGTCACCCTCGGTGAAACTGCGCTGATAACACCGGCTCACCACACACCCCCGGGTTGGGACGTCACCGTACGCCGCCGGGTCACATATGTGACTTCGCCGGTTACTGCCGACCGGCGCCGCATCTCCCATTGGCAAAGTAGCTCGGTTGCTCCTATGCCGTAAGGGCCTGCAAGCGACTATCCTCCAAGGTGCAGGAACTGTTGTGACGCACTTACCTCTTACGTCATAGATTGAAACTTGTGGATGGTGTTTGGTAATGGGGAACGCGGTCCATGGGCCCACCGCCCGGGTACAGGGGCGCGGTGCCTCGGGCCGGCCGAAGGAAAGAGGGTCGGCCGCCACGGTGTGACGGCTGGGAAGGGGGGGGAGCACTGAACGTCACACTGGTGGCGGAGCTTGCGGAAGGCCTGGGGGAGGGGGGTCGGTATCAACCCCATCTGTTCGTATACAGCGCTGTTGAATCAGCCGATGATACATGCTATTCTCGCAGGAACGGCGTGTAGCAGGCTGGGACTTCAATTTACGTTAAGTTTAATGGTCAGTAAAACATGAAAGGCAGGCCGTCGTAAATAGCATCACATAATCGGCTCGGATTCAACAAGAGTTTACCAAACCGGTCAGTAAAATTGGTAATACAACTGATAACATCGCAGAATGATGTGCCATGACGGGACGGGAGGCGTGTCACACTGGCACGGCGGAGAGTGCTGTGAATTAGTCAGATGACCGAACTGGCAATACTGCCGAAGACAACATGCCCAACACCAATGGTCGCAAGGCTGACTGTTTACGACGGAGGCCCTTCACAGGCAGCGTTTGCACCGTGAACTTAAGGACAGCACCTAGATTATTAGGCAACGCGGAATTATGGATTCTCGGGCCTGCTTAAGTCACAAGAAGTGTGTTAGGTCCAAATGGCCCCCTGACCACCCAGAGCATATCGTCATCCTTGAGCTCTAGACGGGCTGATTCACGTGACACCGAGAGCACCCGTTCCGCAGACGTGCATGCAGCTCGCTCTTGCGCCGTGGGCTATCCTGCCTTTTGCCAGAAACTAGCAGCGCGATCTGCGTGGTTTGAAGCCTGTAATAAGTTTGGCATTTCGTCAGCTGGCCGTGCCTGTTAGACAACCTGGACATTTTCAGTTTTAACGCGCCGTTTGCGTCACTCTTGGCTCCTGTGCCATGCGGTGTTCAGTTTGAAATGTGCACACTTTTTGCATGTCTACACATGCTTTAAATGACCGAGAACGAAAATCCATTCATCTCATTTGCGTTTGGCCTTTTGTTCGTCACCCACTGATGCACCAAACTTGGATTGTTGGCAGTATGCCAGAAGAACTGTGCATAAAATCGCCTGCTGGGCTGGCATTCCACATTTCTTGCTGTGGTCGCTTTAACGTCCCGTTATTTCAGCTCAGAGCTAACATCTGTCTTAGCTACATGTTGGCCACGCTGGAGACTGCAAGCAATAACCGGCCAGGTAGCTGAATAGGCTCCTCTTTCACCGTCCACAGATTTTACTTAAACAGTCCTGCCGTTCGTTTTTTGACGCGAGCGGATTGTTATTTTTGGAAAAGATGGGTCGACTTAGATCCATTTCCAGAGCCGTTTAACCGCAGATGGCTCTTGTGTGATACCGCACATGCCGCATCTAAACATCCGTCCCGAGAATCTCTTTATGATTTTATCAGCGAAACGGTCACCAGGCTGACTTTGTTCGCATGGCAGATGCCCCTACAGGCAGCGACATTTGTTCTAGCCTAAAATAGCACCTGCAGAACCCAAAGTTCGTTTTTGGATGACGGCTTAGGAGACCTTTGCCCAGTTCTGGACGGGCACCAAGTGCACCGGAGCAACACGCGGGAGCTAGCGACAAGAGTGTGGGGTCGCTCAGCCGGCCAACTAACGGTGCATATGCGGGATGACTCGGAACAAATGCCACCTGTGTGAAGAGTGAAACTCTGGCGCAGTCAGCCAGGTGTAGATGGGCGAGTACTGGGCCGCATCGTGAACCCCTTCACCGCGGGCACGACAGGACGGGCGGGCATGGGACGCTCCATGGGCTTCACTCACTGAACCCGTCACTGAGGTCATGGCGGGCATCTGACAGTCAGGGACTGCCGCTCACTGAGCCCATCAGCACGCCGGGCGGACATCCGACGCTTGAAGGTCACCAACTACTGAACCAGTCCCTAATGCCTTGGCAGACATTTGACGTTCAGAGACCGTCAGTCGCTGAAGCCGCCGTTATTGGCATGGCAAACATATGACGCTCACACGCTTGCCACTCACTGAACTCATCCGCACCGCCACGGCGAACACTTAAAGCTCAGAGACTGTCACTTTCTCAGCCCGTCATGCAGCGACAGCAATTGCCAGCACGGGGTGAGCAAAGAGAACAAGAACACGCTAACTGATCCTCGTGGACCAGACTTTTCTAACCTCAGCAAGCACCTCGCGGCAATGCTGCTATCATTTTTTTTTAGAGGTTCTGAAAATTGGACATGACATAAGACAGCAGTTGGTACTGTGAGATCAAGTGGAAGAATTCGAGCAAACTGGAATACCATGTCCTCACGTTGCCGCAATCTAGGAAAGCACAAGTTAAATGTGAATGTATGAGAATTTCGTGGTAGGGGGAGGGGGGGGGGGGCTGGGCTAAGCAGAACACATCCCACGATTATAGCGGCATTGTCGTGTTGTGCCACGCTGACCTATCTCACCAAAGGCAGCGTAACAATCGGCATGGGCACGGCTGCAGGGTATAGATAAATGAATAAAATGAAGATGGCCTTAACAGCTTCATGCGTCGACAAGCAACCGACCTATTGGTAGACGGAATTAGACTGTCGGTGAGACAGGAACTGTTAATAGACGCGAAAAGCGGCTGTGAGGCGCGTCTGACACTCACCTACAATGTGGACGGAGGTCTGATCAGAGGACACTAGAGCGCTCGCAGAGCGACTGTGGACCGTGTCTGGCACTCACCTGTGTGAGCCGAGGCTGGATCAGAGGACACCAGAGTACTCACAGAGTGACTGTGGAGTGCGTCTGACACTCACCTGTGTGAGCCGAGGCTGGATCAGAGGACACCAGAGTACTCACAGAGTGACTGTGGAGCGCGTTTGACACTCACCTGCTGTATGAGGCGAGGTCGGATCAGGGGATACCAGAGCACTCACTCGACAGCGGACGCCACGTGCTCGGGCAGCGAACGCACAGCGTCGAATCAGTCTCAGCGCTCTCGCCGCTTTCCTTTATAGAAGGCGCGCGCAGGCGGAATGGAGCGAAACCGCTCTCGCCTCGCCGTGTGTGAGGCGCTGGTGCCGGCAGGCCCTGCAGACACCGCCAACGACTTATTGGTCAGCGGCGCCGACCGCGCCGACATGCGAACATTGGGTCAGAGCCTCGTCACCGAGATCGACGGCACCCCAAGGCCGTCGACTGTCCCGACTGTTGAGACACGGCACCGCTGACGGGGCGCCAGCTCGTGACACGCACTACCCTTTCAGCGCCGTGGGAATTAATTCGGGCTGTCAGAATCCTGCAATGTCATGCGCGTCGCATGGCCTGTATTGCTTACGCTTGCCCGTCGCCCAGTGAAATGGTTGCGATGCTTCGCGACCCAAATGTCCAGGGCCAACGCGTGACAACTCGAGCTTCGTTTCTCTGCGCGTCGCGGTCGTGGGCGATTGGGCCAATGACTTATCAGGTCTGGTGATATAGATGCTGGTCAGGTTTTGGTAATCAGAAGGCGGTCCTCCCAGTCTCCAGATACGGTACGAGTGAGAGCGTGGCGCCGTCGGCGGTCCCCACCGTAGAGCCCTAACGGCGGTGCAGTCCGCCCAGTCTCCAGATGCGGTACGAGTGAGAGCGTGGCGCCATCGGCAGTCCCCACCGTAGAGCCCTAAGGGCGGTGCAGTCCGCCCAGTCTCCAGATGCGGTGTGGGGAGGTGCGGTGAGAGGGCGGCGCCGGCGGCGGTCCCCACCGTCGAGCCCTAACAGCGGTGCAGTCTTCCCAGTCTCCAGATGCGGTGTGGGGAAGTGCGGTGAGAGGGTGGTGCCATCGGCGGTCCCCACCGTAGAGCCCTAACGGCGGTGCAGTCCGCCCAGTCTCCAGATACGGTGCGGAGAGGTGCAGGTGAGAGGACGGCACCGTCGGCGGTCCCTACCGTAGAGCCCACCGTAGACCCCTAGTAGCGGCATAGTCCTCCCAGTCTCCAGATGCGGTGTGGGCAGGTGCGGGTGAGAGGGTGGAGCCGTCGGCGGTCCCCGCCGCAGAGCCCTTACCGACAGCTTTCTCATCAATATTTTCGAACATATGGCCTTCGGAGCTGTCGGCCCGACTACGAGTATTGGTTTCAGAGCTGCTAGCCCGATCAATGTATGAGTTCCAGACCTGTTGCCCGATCAGGTGTGTTGGGTACAGAGCTGCGGGCCCGCGGTCATTCCGCAGCTGTTGATCAGGGCACCCAAGTCATTCAGGTCGCCCCATGGTAGGCTTATAAAGCTGATCTCAGCAACTTAGAACGATAGAGTTTATGACGAATCGAAAGTGAAGCTTTAACGGAAAGCAAATAAAAGGGGAATATAAGTGTGCGAAAAATTGCAGTCTGCCATCGAAGAGGCAAGCTTGCCATAGTTAAATTATATATGCATTAAGCTGATACATGTTCAATTACTGATAATGACCAGCGCGCTAAAACTGCGCAAAATCGGCAAAATGAGGCTATCAGGCACTTGCGGCAAAGCCCTAGACGCGGATATTTTGGGGAGATGCCCTTATTTTGTTAAAGTGCAGGAATGCCATATTCAAAACCGTTCTTACTGGTTTCGAGCACGCCGATGTATTAATTGATGCGGATATGAAAAAAGATTGGCGTTGGGAGAACATTTTATTTGGTATCGACAAGGGAGCTGTTGGAATCAAACCTGGCATTGGGGCGTGATTGTAAAGTCACAGTGCACGCCACACTTTTTTAGATACCTTGGTATTGAAAACACGCCTATAGAATAAGCAAACATGGACCGAGCTTCGGCGGACACTTGGGGGCGGCTGTTTCAGTAACTATCACTGCAGTCAGCAGTTGGCCATGATGACATAGAAGATCCTAAAGAAAAGAATGCTGAGGCTTATATCAAATCTCTTTTAATGTGACGTAGAAATGAAACCAAAACACCTACACTTGGCAATCCATTTCATGGCATATTAAACTTCGGAACAAAACCCTGCCTGGACGAGGACCATCAGAGAATAACAAACCTTAAAAAAAGCTCCACGTGAGCGCCGTTGCCTTTCATAACCAGCGTCAGATAAATCTCCTTCAGGTGTTCATTGACCTTTCAGTGTGTACCCAACGCGACCATGCAAACCCCTGGATGATAATTGTCTTCAGGTACACAGTCGTTCTGGGCTTGTTTATGTGCACTCTGCCCTTCAGATAGCTCCACAAAATGCCCAAGGGGTTAAGGTCAGGGGAGCTTGGAGCCTATGTAATCTCTGTCTCATCGCTGACAGTCTATTTCCCAAAGGGGTTTAACAGCCAGTCCAGGGTGCAGGTGGTAGTGTGCGGCGTCGCACCGTCTTAAGACAACTTTTGATACCCTCCGTGGGTTCTTGATCTCGCCTAAGTTTCTCTCCAAATGGTTCGAGCACCGTCTCAATAAAACAATGGGCTTTGCAGAACAGAGCAGGTTTCCTATCCTCTGAACGTTTTCACTTGTACCGACAACTCCAGACTTGCCAGGATGCCGGGGATTTTAAAATGTGCGTTTTTCTCCAATCTTCTCGACTCGATCAGCTATACTTGGCTTTCGAGAAGCCTGGTCAAGTATGTGGTGGCTGATGTGATGTTGAGACGCCGTAGGTGCCTTGTAGCATGTGGTGGAGAGGTAAGCCTCGACCGAAAAAAGCTCCTGCTGAATTTTACGCGCAAGTGCTTGTGTGCTTACTGTGCTTGCTTGCTTGCACTTACTGTGCTTGTGCTTGCATTACCTGAAGATATCTGAAGATATCTATCTGAAGAAGAATTATATGTACCCAGACATATTTGTCATGGCTGCCGATATGCACGGTCGGAACTGGAAGAGCGTTGTGGTGCTGTGCCAAGGGCTGTGACGCATAGGTTTTAAGGGAGGGAAGCTCTATCTGCAAGCCGTTTTTCCGCGTGCAACACGGCGTAAATCACCTGCAGCTTTCACGAAAATGGTACAGTGAGCGCCTCTCTCCTCCAATCAGGTTTGTGCGCTCTAGATTGTACAGGTTTCAACAATGTCATGTTTAGCATAAAATCGTCATGTTTAGCATACACAATAGACTGATGGGACAATGTTTTTTTCTTTCTCTCCTCCCAGAGAAACAAATATGCAGCGCACACATACTCAGTGTCATATAGCCCTGTAGCGAAGTCGGCAACACACAAAACCGCTAGGAGGTAAAACGGCCGAGAATTGATTGTCCAATGTTTTCACTGTAATAAAGATATACTCTGCATGCGAAGTGGAAAAAACAACTTTAAAATGCTCCTCTTGAAAAGCCGTTGTGGTTGGTTGTCGTCGTCGTTGCTGCCTGTTCTAACAGTTTCAAGGTAACCGCTTGGTTTTGACCCCCAGTGGTATCGTCATATCTTGCGATATGGTTCTGCACTGGAATGCTTCTGGCCGCACTAGCATGCACCAATCGAAAAATACACCCAGCAAAACACTGTGCATGCGTGCGTAAAACACGGTTTCGCTTGAAGATGGCCACGAAATTCTATGAATTCTCTTGCAGCGCCATTTGCAATTTATTTCTCATCCAAGATATGCAACTTCTTTTACATTTCTCACAGCAAGGAATTAAAGCCATGTATTTGATTTTACGTACCTCCTACCTTTTTTAGTAGGAATGAATGAATGAAAGCCCTACGATCTATTGTCGGCAGCTGAAAACATGAAGTGCGCATGGGTTTTGTTGTTTTACTTAAAATACTCACCAACAGTGATTGAGCAGTCAACGGGTGTCATTTTGACGCCAAAAAAAAAAAATGTTCAGTCGTGTCTCGTTGGCTAAAATTGATTTATCAGCAGTATGGGGCAAGCAACGCTACAAAGTGAGGGAGGAAAATGGTGCAAACAAATGGGACCACACGAGCTCTTTTCACACAAGCACTATGAGATCGGGACCTATTTAGGTACGAAGTTTGAACCCGTTTAAAGTGTGGTAAATAGAAGGATGGCCATGATTTCTCCTTGGGGTTATCAATATAGACACAGCCCTTCACTGCGGAAGAGTTTTGTTTCCTTATCATGCACCTCTCCGTCATCGCCCGTTTCCGTTACTGTATGATTTGGTCCCATGGGCCACATATACAAACGTAATATGATGAATCGGTACACGATGGATGAATGAAAACATTTCCAGAGTAAAGGTTGCATGCTATTTAAATATGACTGACGAAATACAGTGAGTTTTGACGCCCATCTATCCTATTTTCCGTGCATATCAAAATTAGCTATCTGTGAAATGCGGCAGGAACAAGTTAGGTATCGGTCGAATAAACGCTAGTGCGAGAATTCGACACCTTTTTTAAAATACCGACTTTTCTGGCTTTCCCAACGATGCCCGACGCAACCGCGCGCCGCACAAATTTGTGCTAGTCACACAAATTACACACGGTACATTACTCGACGCTTTTGAAATCGGATTCACGCCACTACCTGCTCTATTTGCCTGTATGTGCTTGCAACAAAGCACACGTAAAAGTGGGTAAATCCATCTTAATCGTTTGTGTACAGTTGGTATGTAGTACATGTAGTACATGCAGCCACAACACGATTTCCTGTTCAATTCTCTACGAAAGCGTGTTAACTTCTTGTTGCTCTAACCTGTGCTTACTGCGATGTCGCAATAGTTTCAAACAGCTGCTTGCCTGTTCCGCGCGGGTCACATTTTCGGACAGCATATGCAAGAGCAATGGGCTAAAAAAAACACCTTGCAGGACGTTAAACTCACGCCCCATCAACACCGACCTTGCTTGCACACGTTGCCTCGCGCCCGCGCGCGTCGTGCCCAGATCTCATCGTTCAGCGAGCAGCCGTCGGTCCGGGCAAAACGCAACGCAAATTAGGACAGACACACAGATACACGGGCAGACAGACAGACAGACGCACTCCAGGAGAATATTACGTTGATCATGCATCGTTAAACACATGGTTTTCTGCTTTGCCACAAGTCGCC